GACTAATAATAAAGCTAAAATAAAAACGAGCTTTTTGTTGAGAATTCGACTTTCACAGAATTTTGGAATTCTCACTTGCAAAGAAGTCTGGAATACGAGCGATGAATGCTTACTGCAAGTCGAAGTGTGTTCAAAATTTCCTTTCTTCTTGAAATCGAACAAAGTGCTATTTGATCAACTTTTTGAGACAAACTACAAATAACTACAGTTTTATTCAAATGACCTTGATTGAAGTTTACTCTTCTAAGCTAATTCTCGAATATAAATACGTCAAAATTTTTTAACAGTAAAAAAGCAATTAGAACGGATACCGGAAAAAAGCAAATTCTTTGGAACGTAACGATGAATACGCTCGATGAAATTGAAAGTCGAAATTCGAAGCGCACTTGATAGAGATTTTAGCGACCAACAAGGAAAAAATTGCAATCGCATAACGGAGAATTTCAAAAAAAATTAAAACACCAGCAATGGACAAAGACGAAAAGTGATTGAAAATCAGCAGGGCACATAAGATCGCAAGCGAAAACCCCTAAATTAAGTAATAACTCTATAAAATATACATCAATAAAAATAAACCATTTACCACTCAAAATCAATTTTCAAAAACCAATCAAATTTCATTTTAAAATTTAGAATGCTTAAACAATTTCTATTTATTCTATTATTCTATTTAAATTCTATTATTGAATATAATTTATGCAATCTTGTAAGCAAAATAATGTAAAGGAAAACTTCATAATAGAACGATCCGTGATCACAGATCATTGATAATTGATCGTCGATGTAATCATAATCGACATCATCAACAAGTCCACTTTTTATATAAAATACACACAGCTTCCGTAAAAACCAAACAGGTAAAGTGAATATAAAATGAGGAAAAAGAAGAATATTCATCAGATTCGAAACAATTATGAAATAAAAAAAAATTTCCATTAAAATCGCATGTTGGTGGAAACAAATAAAATTTAATCTGGAAAATAAAATGCTTTCAATAAGGCATTAAAAAACTGCACGCAGAAAAATAATGAAATATTTCATAAACATTGATGAAAACGAAAAAAAAATTGCAGATTTAAAAACCTTTTTCCAAAAAACGAAAAATTAGTATGCAATTTATTTAAATAAACGAATAAATAAAACGATAATCATTAATTTGTAAAGAAAGGAAAAATTCTTAATTCTAAATTCTTAAAAAATCGTCATGAAACAGATAAATTAATGGGCCAACAGAAAATATTTAATATAAAGCAAATAATTAAAATAATGAGAAAAATAAGTCAATCAGCTTTCCAGATTTTCCGTTGCTTGATCGGTTGATCTGAAACATAAAAACTGAATAACACTAATAATATTTTAGATAATAGTATTTTACTTATTTCAAGGATGGTTAAAATAACTGGTGAAGTACGAATGAAGTAAAATTTATAAATTTCAAGCAAAAAAGAGAAAATGAATGAGATAAGCTGGAGTAGGAAAAATATGAAGAATACCTTCTACATATCTAAGCAAATAATGTTTTTTTTAATTAAATAAAAAAAATCAAATAAAACAAAAAAAACAAAATTTTTTTGAATGAATTATTCATCCAGACTCAATGAAATCAGAATATAAAAGACAAGCGAAAGTGCTACTAAGTAATAAGAAATCAAAACCGAATTGAAAAAACTATAGGAAAAAGATCGAAATGAAAGTCTACTTTCTAAAATTTTGAAAATTTTAAATTTTTTTTGGCAAAAATACCTTCTATAAAGTAGGATATAAGCACTACTGGATCTGAATGGATCTTTCAACTTATCCAGCAATTTAATATTCGAGTCATCACAATTAAACCTATAAAAGCTTGATAAAGACTGATAAAATAACTGCAAAATGCTAGGATTGAGAAAATTCATGGTATATTTTAAAAACCAGAGAGATAAAGATAATCGAACTCCAACTATTTTAAATTCGCCAAATCTGAAATAGCCAAATGTATATTAATGGCGAAAGAAAAAACTTAAAGCAAAAAACTAATGAAAAAATGAACCAAGAATTATTCTTATGTACCCAAGCCCAGTAATGCCCATAAGAAAGACTGCCACTATGGTGTATCACTGAAACCAAATCGTAAACACATTCAGATTGTGTTCCAACTAATATCTTTCCAGATAGATCCATAGCCCTCAAAAATGCATCACAAAGTAATAAATTTACAATTACAATTAATTTATAAATTTTAACTGTATATTAATTATAATCGTGTATTAATTTTACAATTAAAATTTTATAATTCTATTTAGAAAAATAATTTTTAATAAATTTAATATTTTTTAATTTGAATTTTTTAAATTTTTAAAGTATTCATCCTATCATCAACCTATCAACCTATCATTCATTCTAAACTGAAGTGATATTGGATAAATGATTGCCAAATTTTTGCCAGAAATATGACAATTTAATCTTACTGCACAGGTATATCCACTTCAATATTCACTTTCCTCGCTAAGTTACGACGATTTTGAAATCGATTTAAATGAATGAATAAATAACGCGGCATCCTGCATAGATCCATCTTTTTCCTTGCACATTCAAGCTTGCCACATTTTGAACAAAACCTGAAATAATTACACTCAATTTCAACTATATTAACTATTTGAAAAGTCAAAAGTAATATAAAGTTTATATAAAATTATGTGGTTTTTATTATATGTCGAATGGCGAAGAAAGCTGCAAATATGAGCAGGTTATCCACATCGCACCTGCTACGCAAAAAAATTAGTGAAATTAAGAGAAAAAAGTTGGAGAATAGGAGAATATTAGAAAATATCACGAATAGTAGAGTATACCTCATAAATGAGAGGTACAATGCGACTTTTATTTTGAAAGAATAAAAAACCAAAAATCTTCCACCCATCTCAAAATATAAGCTCCCAAAAGATCGTTTTTGGCTATTTTAAGCTTTTGTTGGGAAAAATGTGGTGGACAACGGATGAATTGGGCATTTTTTTTTTTACATTCGGTTTTATTTACTATATTATTTTTCTTTGTAATAGGATAACTTGTTTTCTTTATATATATTTGCGTAATAAACGGTTTAATTACCCAAGTTTGAGGATCCAAACGTTCGCAACGAGATAATTATAAAGAGAATTATAAAGAAGATAAAGATTATAAAGAAAAATTGACCAAAGAATTTATAATATTGTTGCTAGATAAAAATCCCGCGTGGTAGGAAACTGTTAAATCTATACAAACATATGGAGTGGATTCCTGAATGAATTTTGTGAAATTAGATATTGGAGGTAGGAATCGCCGTGTTTCAAGGAAATTCGTATTGCTATTTCTGTACACTATAAGTGTGATAGCGATATCGCTCAGTCTAAACTGCGATTAAAAAAATATTGATGGTTTGCCCTATATCACAAAAACATGAACCATTTATTTTTCATGGCTAAAACAACATACACTACTCTGGTGAAATCTCTTTAATAGCGATCTTAAAACAAACCTAGACCTTCAATATCACATCTTGCTATCATGACAAAGAAATTTCGAGATCCTATTTTTATTTTCATTCAAGCCATATGAATTAAATAACACTATCTTTGGAAAAAAAAATGTAAATGTAAACAATAATCAAAGCAAAATAAAAAAAATCGAATCCCAAAGACGGAAATAAATTACACTCTATTTTGATCCTGAAGCATTTCTTCCTTTATATACCAATCAATTAATTTATGTATGGATGGAGTATCAATCGACTGATTTCTTAAATCGATTTCCGTAGTTACTAAACCCTGAAATTTAATCAAATACTGAACGAAGAGCTTAAAAACAAAAATAAATGGAAAAATTCACCTTTAATTAATGAAATATGAAATATACCAAATTGAAAATTCGAACAAAACCAAATTAAAAATTCGAATGAATAAATGAATGATGTAACAAATAAAACTCGAAAAAAAATTTTTTGTAATGGAATCTTTATAAAACCTCTTCCTTTCTTTTCGCTTCAAAAAAGTCTTGTTCCCAAATAAATGTTAATGACAACATCCTGAGACCTGCTTCATTGGTATCTGGCCAATCAAGTTCCTATAATATTTTCGTCAAACATTTGGGAAAAAACGAAAATATTTCAAAATCCAATTCGAACCAAAAATGTAAATCTTCTTCTTGTAAATCTTAAGCAATTATAAAAATAAGTATCTTTCCTTAAGTAAAGTATTGTATTTACCTTATCATCTGGCAAATCGACAGATTTAGCAGCCATAAGACTAGGATGATATTGTAGCCAATAATCACATGCCATTTCTTTTAAAAGTATATTATCAGCTGACACTGAACGATGATTCTTATTGACAGAAAAAACGGGCATACTATTCCTTCTCAATTTTGCTTTATCGCTCCTTGCTTTCGTTTCACCTGTCTTTTGCAGTACAAAATTGACTCCACTTGCGTTTAACAGAAAAAAACGCCTAAATAATCAAAAACTAATCAAAAGTCGAATTTTAAATTTGAACCTGATATTACTACTTCGAATTAACATTTTTTATTCCTTCCTTTTCAATAGCAAATTTTTAGCTGAATTCTCGCCTATATTAGAGAATTTCCTATTTTATAATCGAAACGAAAGAACCAAAAATAACTAAACAGATCATTTTACAACTAATACAAATCAGTTTCAAAAAAGAAAAAAGGTACTGGTTCAGCGAAAAAATATCTAGATTGATGAAATCGAAATCGATTTTTTGAGAAGAGGGTACGCAATAAGCAATAGGCAAAACTCTCAGTTCTGCTTTACCTAATATTCTATTACGAATAACGATGATTTTTCCCTCTGAACCACTTATATTTTTCACCTGCAAATTTTCCAAAATTCCATAAAATTATATTTTTTTGCAAAACTTTATAATTAAAATCCAAATCAAATGGATCAAAGAAATACATCATAGAAAAGAAAAATTAAGCCAAGAAAAAAATCAATCCACCTGAATTGCAAGAAGATTCAGTGAACAATTTTGAATTAATTCATTATCAAACAACAAACGGTTTATATCTCCATCCAGAATAGTAAACAACAATACCTTAAAAGGAATGCAATGGCAAAAAATTTTATTACAGATAAATTCAACTTAATTAATACAGAGAAATGAAAAGGCTTGATTTAAAGCTTAAAAAAAATAATTCCAAGAAACAACTCGATGAAAAACTTGCCGCTGGGTGCCACGGAATTTGCTTTTGTAATTCATTCCTAATATCGAAGACAGATGTAGTACTATTAATGACAATTGCATACTAAAAGTAAGATGGTTAAAAAAATAAGAATTATAACAGAAAAGTACAAGCTCTCCAAAAATTATGATGTTCCTCAACATGAGGTTCATGATGTCAATGATGCTCCCTTAAGAAATTATCAAAACGTAGGATAGAATACGAAGAAACAAATTGTTCAAAAAGGAAAAAAATACAACTTTTCGCCAGTCTTCTCGCGGCGATGATGGTATAAAAATCACAGAGACCACTTCATATAGTTCAACTGGTATAGTTAAAAAGCAAAATGGATCGAATTTGATATTTACCTATGAAAGTTTAGAAAATAAACTTGACAATTCTAATTTAATTCTAATTCTAAAGAAAATTTAAAGAAAATTTGCTACATTAAATTAAAAAACCTGAAAACATTTTGTACATATAATCGATGAAAGAAAATTTGCTACATTAAATTAAAAAACCTGAAAACATTTTGTACATATAATCGATGATTGAAGTAAACCATACATATACTGCGTGATAATGCTCTTATTTTTCAATAAAAAATTATTCCAAGTTTCTTGAGAAACCTGCAGAAAGAGAGGAAGTAAATTAATGCCAATAAACATTAAAATAAAAAACTTATGCTAAATTTCTAATTTAACCAGAAAACCACTATGGAAATTAAAATTCATCAAATTTAATATGGATTTCGAAATTTGTCTGAAATATTAAACAAAGAAAAACCTCCTGATTCGTCATTTCAGCTTGATTTATACTTTCATGAAAAATATTCAAAAGGTAAGCCATAAATTCATGTGAATCATGTTGACCAGAAGAGAACACTGGAGCATATTTAGTTATTATGCTCTAAATATTTTTTTATTTTTAAATATTTTATTAAATAATATATAATAATATAATATATATTATATAATAATATAATAATAATATATAATAATATTTATTAAAAATATTATTATATATTATTATTTTATATTATTGTATGTAACTTTATATACAACTATTATAACTATTATTTATTATATACAACTATTTCATATGATGTTAATCAATTAATATATTAATTAATATGCTAATTCTATGATTTATTCTATGATTCTTCTTTTCAGTTTTTATCGTTTCATGGATATGGATATGTAGTTTCTGGTTATAAATAAATAAGAGATTAATAAAGAAAAAGGAGAAAAGCTCTCAAATCAAAAAATATTTACAAAAAATGGTTGCGGATCAACAACTGAACCATTAGAACATAATTTTTTCAAAAGAACGGCAAAAGCTGTTAGAATTTCGCCACCTGTTTCATTCTTTACATTTAAATCATTTCGATAATGTTCATTTAGAAAATAGTCTTTCAGTTCAGTAATACTGTTTAAGCACTAAAAATGATTAATTGAGGAGGACCTTTTTTTAACAATTTTTTGAAACTATTTCTATTTCAATAAACGTTTTAAATAACAAAAGAAATAATATAATTAATTACCTGTACGGCACTGTTAAAATAACAAGTTAAGGTATCATTTAACAATCCGCACAATTCAATTTCAGTCATTTTTCCTACAATGTTTTCCGTATTTCCATCCTTTTTTTGTTCATTTTCATTATTACTCTCGACTAAACTGAAAATTATTTCGAGTCGAAATTAAGAATCAATTTTGAATATTTTCATTCTTTCACTAATATTCTCTATAATAAGCCTAAAAAAAGTTGGTGATCCTTTTCACCATCCCATTTTCTGGCCTTTTTATTTCATTCTACTAAATTATTTCTTTCTTAAGAATTTCTTTTCTCTTATTATCCCCCTTTTTCACATTTGCTCTCACAAATATAATACGAATAACTAAACTCCTTTAAAGACTGAAATGATATAGCTACATATGGCTTTGGTAGCGTTATTTGAAGCATTATATGAATTTTTCCATAATATTTGAAATGGAAATTTGAAGTTAAAATCTTTTCGCTTGCAATTATTGGAAATCAGTGGTTTAAAAATTAAAAAATTTGAATATCGCCTATTTTCCAATTAGAAATTTATGGAATACAACAGATCATATTTCGTAAACAAAAAAATCATACTTTGCATTTATGCTCGAAATAATTAGAATATCGCCAGGAAACAGTATTTTATACCATTTAGGAGCATTTTTTTTGAGAGATCGAACTCGTTTTCCAATTTTTGCAGAAAATAAAACTGCTGTTGAGGAATCAATATTCATTAATGCAATAGCTTTATCCTTCACAGTCTCTGAAAGTCCAGTTTTTCAATCAAAAGTTTAGGAAACTTCCAGTAAAATTTTCAAATAAATTCTTAAAGTTCAATAATAAGAATTTAACAAAAAATATTGAAATTTATGAAAAAAGAGAGATAAAGACTGATGTTATCATTTTCATCCACCAATAAGCGTTTCATTTCTTTTGTTTCGTTATTTTTGACCTATAAGAAAATAATTTAAAAAAAAATTCTGAATGAAAATGCTACAAAAATAATTAAAATTGATTCGTCCAAATAAAGTTTGGATTTACTTTAAAATAGAGTGAAAGGAAAAGTTTTTTAACACCATCTCTCGTTTGGAATGATAAGCATTTGATGATATCGCGCTCAGTTAAAGCAACTCCAACCCATTCATTTAAAATCTCAAAATCTTTCTCTCGTACGAGTAAATAATCCAGCACTTCATAAATATTGGGTTTTAAAATATAATGGTCATCTTCTAAAATAATAAAAAATATTCGCAAATAAATGACAATGAGAAGCATCATAAAATTTCGAAGAAAAACTGTAGGAAAAAGAATTTTCATTCTTTTAAAACTCCCAAAATTGGTAATATAAATCTAGATAATCTACACAAAAAAAATGTGTAAGATGAACAAAAAACCTCGAAGAGTAATTGATTCGTTGGAAATCTGTCGAATATTAGAGATTGCACATGCAGCAACCGTTGCAACAAAGTAACACCACCAATCCGAACTTACGATATATCTATAAAAAATTCGTTAAAACTAAACAATATACAACCTGTAAAAGCTCATTTATACCATTTTATTTCTGTCTGCATAGAAGAATATTGTTTATTACAAATTATTTCAATAAATTTAATCTAATAACTTTTATAAAATATTTAAAATTATTGAACCCAACCAATACCATTTCGCAAAATAATAAAAAAAACGAACAATATTTCACGATTACTACTGTGAATAAATCTCTTTTCAACCTGTTCAATGAGACATCGTATTTCACTCATTTTTAATTTTCCAGGGCATTTCATCTGCAAATTTTTTTCACCGTTAGCAGAACAAATATTCTCCTTTCTCCTCTTAAAAGAAGGAAGCAAATTAATATCAATATTGAACATTAAAACGCAAAAGTACGTAAATTAGAAATGAGGAATAGTGAGTAAAATTCTAGAAAGGCTGCCACAGCTTCTGAAATTCACAACCACTTTGAACCATTTTAAGCGGAATGTACTTTGGCTCGAACTTCAGCCCGAACCTCTCTTCGATTTGCTGATAAGCTGATAAGCCAAAGTGATAAACGAAAACTTTCTACATATGCAAAAAAAGTAAAAAATAGAAATTTAAAATATTAATATTAATAAATTTAAAATATTATATTAATTAATATAATAAAAGAAAAAAATAATAAAAAATAAGAAAAAACATTTTAGCGAAAAAAATTTCGCAAACCAAGAATTGAATTGAAATAAAAAATAAAATGTTGGAAAAAATTGAAATAGATCATTAAAATTCACAATAAATGGCATTTGACAAATTTTTTTTAAATTTTTAAGGCAACATTTTCCAAAACAAAATGAAAAGCTGCATTTTCATATATCGCAGACTGCTTTCTGGCAGCAGCGAATTGAAATATTGTTCCCATTTAGTATTCATAGAGGGGAAAAAAGTTTTAAAATAATTCTTTTGTTTAAAGAACGATTTAATGAAAATTTTCAAAAATTTGGCGTAAAATTTTTTTATAAAAATAAAGAAATTTGCATTTTATCGCTCAAATTTTTTGAAAAAAAATTTATTTTTTAATCAATGAAATTAAATTAAATTTTATGAAGCTCCCGCTTGCCAGGCACTCGGAGCACTTAGGAATGAAGCCGCTTGCCAGGCACTCGGAGCACTTAGGAATGAAGCCGCTTGCCAGGCACTCAGACTTTATTTTTAATGATTCCAGCCGAGGATCGAATCTCACTGATGTTTATTTGCGGCTACTTATAGTTAAATATGCGCAGTTAATATCCATCGCAGTTAGTATGAAATAAATTCTCTCGTAGAAATTATTCGGCACAAATCAAATTATTTAAGTAAGAAATATTTAACGGAATTTATCGTTTTTCTTTTTTGATGAAAGTTTAATTAATAAATTAATTGAAAAGGTTTTAGGAACGAAAAATGGAACAAATTTCAAGAATAGAAGAAAATTGGAAAATTCGCGAAGATGTACAAATACCGCCATTTCGAAATTTCGATGAATTTCTTTTGGGGAAAGCAAGATTCGAGGCATTTTTTGACAAAATTTTTTGCAAAATTTTATATGATAAAGATGGAAAATTTATAATATGGAAAGATAATAGGATAACAAAAAGAAAATTGAAAAATGTAGTTAATAAAAATAAAAAAAGGTGATAAGAAACAAATTTTCAAAGTCTCATTGTTTCGTTTATTCTTTTAATTTTGTTTATTTTATAATTTTCATCTTTTATATATTTTTTATACTATTTTTAAAAACGGATTACTTATAACATAAATATATGTATATAAAGAACATAAAAATGATTATTGATTATTAAAATGCATAAAATAAAAAATAATATTAATAATATTAAAATGCGAATAAATATTTTGAGATCATAGGAGTTATTTTTCAAATGCACTCACCATTTCTAGTTTAACTCATTCCTTGTGGCTGGTTGTGGGATCAGGCAATTCTTGCCAGATACTTGGCGGTAGGAAAATGGTGAGTCGCCAGCATCATCTGGATTTGTGAAAGACAGGTCCTGCCGAGGGTTGAACCCCAATCAGCGCTTCGAAATGTGAGGAAACACTGTGAATTCTACCCATTTTTTATGATTTGTGGGAATAATTTAAAAGCGTAATAAATAAAGTGGATTTACTCACCATTTTTGGTTAAATTTGTTGTACTAGTATGATGAGATACTTTTGACGCTTTTAGAATCACTTAGGACAAAATTAGTTCGCTGCCTGGTTCTTTTAAAAATAACAATTTTTGCTTGGAATGACCATCTAAAAAGTATGTGATTCGGTCATGCTTATCTAATAATTTAAATTTATGGATAAATTTTAGTTACCACCATTTCGCGATTTAACGAAATGGAACAATCGAATAATGAGTAATTTATTATATTTTCAAACAAATTATATTGTTATCACATTAGTTCTCGTAATTATTTCGTCAACATTAAATGCTCGGGACATGTGTATTGGTTTATTGTCGATATGCATTTTCGCTGCTTCGCTCTTTACTGTGTTAACATCAAATCAAAGTATTGTCCAGGTGATTTTTTTAAAATTGTTTACTTACTTTGGTTTTACTTTTTATTGGTTATTATTTAATTGTTCGAATCGTTTGATCATTTATTGTATTATTTTTATTAATTTTTGTTTTCATTAATACATTTATTTCAATTATTATTAATTCTTGTTTCGTTTATTACTTTTTATTTAATTTATTGTTAATTCTATTTATTAGTAGAATATGACACTTTTATTATTATTATTGTTATTTTATGTATATGTGTATATATTCATTCCTGATGTTGATGATTTTAGATAATCTATCGTTTTATTTATTTAAATAATTGTTTGTTCTTTATTTAGATAATCATTTGATAATATATCAGGTAAATGGTATCATAAATGTCAAATATAACGAAAAAGATTGACCTTATTTGGTCTTAAGGTGTTTCTTTTATTTGCTGAGTGACTGGGCCTCTTCGAGTGGCTCTTCTATTTTTTTGTGTTGTGTTGTTTTGTGTTTTTTCAGATCTTTCAGACGCATCGCTTTTGCTTATCAGTTGTTTATTCTGAAGAAGTCTTTTTCCAGTTTTCGAGAGAAGCTTATTTCTAGAACCACCCTTCGATCTTTCTTTTATTGTCGTTCTATTTGATGACAGTGGTCTTTTAGATGTGGTCAGTTCAGTTGATCGTTACCCTCTTTTGTTAATTGCCTTTGGTGGTCGGCTTCTATTTGAAAGTTTTTTTGATTCGGTTGCAGATCCTATCAATTTTTGCGTTTTTTTAACGGGTGATCTTCCACTCGCCTTCTTCTTGGGCTAATCATTTCGTCATTTGATTTTTGCATTTTTTCGACAGTTTCGATTTTCTTTGGTGGTTGACCTCTTCTCTTCCATCTACTGGTTTTGGTTTGATTCTAATTTCATTTAATTTTTGCTTCTTCCAGACAGATTTTGTTCTACTTCTAGGTGTTCCATTAAGTGATATAGATGTTATCCTTTTAATTGATTTTTGCTTTTTTCAAAATTTGACTTTTCGTTATCAATCGATATTTTCTTCGTATGGTTATTTCACGTGATTTTTTCCTTTTTTTGACGACTATTATTTTCGATAGTCGGCCTCTTTTGCTTATAGTTTGTTTTGCTTTGGTTCTAATTTCTGTTGATTTTTATTCTTTTCAGCAGTTGTCGTTTCAACTGATGGTTGGCTCTTTTTAAAGGTAGTTGTTGTATTTGGTATTCGCCATTTCTGAACCGCTGATGGTCGGCCTATTCCAAGGGTAATTATCTCTCTCGGTTTTATCCTTTTTTAATAATTGTTTTCTTTTGCATTCGACTTCTTCTTGTAAGTTGCTTTAATTTGGTCGATTTTTTCTTCTTTTCAAGTGATGTTGTTCAACTTAGCGATTGGTTTCTTCTAGAAATGGTTTTTGGTTTTTGTCTTTTTCAGCAGTTGCTATTTTTGATAATGATTTTCTTTACACAGTTGTGATTCTCCTTGTTGGCTTTCTTCTTGAAATATTGGTCCGTTTCTTGGTTTTTGATTTTTTTCGGAATTATTCTAAAAGATGATCTCTTCTTTTTACCAATTTTTTCAATCCAGTTATGGTTTCACTTGATATTTTCTCTCTTTTTGGCAATTGTCTTATCACTAAACTCAATCTTCATAAACTTTTTCTTTTTTTGTCCCCCTTTCTTTATCGCTATTTAATCTCATCTTTTACTTGGTAAAGCAATTCTTCACCAGTTTTGTAATGGTTTTTTTCTCAGTTATTTTTTCAAGTACAAGAAGTTTCTTAATGGTAAGGGTGAGACAAATCAACAAATTAAAAAACATTCCTATCATGAAATAAATCGTAAAAAAGTTATTTCTGATTTAAGGATATCGATAAATTTAAAATCGATAACTAAAAAAGCTCATATATAAGAAGCTCATATACAGATAAAATGCGTGGAAAATTTCATTTAGGCAGTTTGAAATTTCTTTGATCAAAAATTGGAGTTCAGAAAAATAGGCGTTTTTATCTCAAATTTTCAAATTGATAAATAATTTCTTGAATAATTGTCGATATTTTTTTTAGGTATATTTTTTGCAGTTTTAGGTTAACTTAAGTAATTTTTTCAGAATTTTTATATCCACGTTTAAAATTTTAAGAATTCGATGAATTATTTTCACCAATTTTTTGTTTGATTGTAAAAAGTAATGCAGTGAAAAATCGAATTTCTATTAATTTTTATGAACATTTTTCAATTTTCATTTTCTCCACTATTCCATCGATCCTTCGTTATTATTTTTCTAATAATTTCAGCTTCGTCGTCAAAATACATTAATCACTTTTGGAGCGGTAATCATATCACTGTATATTTTTATTCGATCGTTTTCTTCAGTTATTACAGTGGTCTTCATATTTGCTATACCAGTATTCGCAATACTTGTACATGCATCGATTCGTCTTCGTAATGTGAAAGCAAAACTCAATCATCAACTTGAAAGAATCGGTTTGAAGACAACGCTAATGGCTCAGTTACTCGAAGCTTTTAGTATTGATATAAGAAATAATTAAGATGAGAATTTACCTTTTTCAATACATTTAAATTTATATTTAAACAATCAATAGTTTTTTCAAGTAGTATATTATTACGGCTTATTTCATTTAAGAATTATCTCTACAGCACGCTTGTTTGCATCGAAATGGGAACGTTTTTTTATGGATTTTCTGATTTTCAGAGATTTTTTTTATTGGCTTAGTCTAGCTTATTTTGTAATAAAATTGCACCCATGTGTAAAGAAATAACAAAAAGTTTTTAATAAAGATTTCGAAAAAAAATCATTACTTGGGGTGTATTATTTATAATTCATTGTTCATTAAGACGATAAGAAATGAGCTGCAAGCTGTGTTTCAACAGAGAAATTAACTTGTACCATTTGTAAATTGAATATTTTCGTTGGTATTCGTGCTCAGATGGTCGAAATTCACTGTTAATCATTTATCGAAAAAGAGTATACGTCTTAACATTCTTTCCCCTTTATTATAATATCAAGATGAGAAATTCAGCTTATCGTCTCCAGCATCAGGGTTCAGACCATAGTTCCAACAAAAGTAAATTGAAATGCCAGTTGTTTTCTTTCCTATCCCAAAGTGATTTCTGGCAAAAAATTTTTCAACAGCCATTGGAGCGAATTTAGCCGGAAATGATAAATGCTAATTTTTCTCTAAATGTATTCTGAAAAATTACTTTAATTTTTGTCGTCAAAAAAAGAGCAATACGCGTCAACTCGTGCAATAAGCGCAGATATCAGTAATTTTTGGAACGAATTTCGGAAGTTTTTGAACACAAACATTTAAGTAATTTTAATACTAAAATAAATTGATTTGATCCGCCTTTTAATGAATAAAAACCGATATCAACTGCTAACAATTTTGTAAATTATTTTTTATGGAACCCAATAAAGGAAAGAGTGTGGCTCTGTGGAAAATAATTACCACGGAGAATCGAGGCAGACCACGCTTCGCAGAGTGGCAGTCGTCTTATCGGGTCGCCTAAAGGAAAATGCAAAGGAGAGTAGAATAGATCAAGGGGCTGTGGGTCCGAAACGACAATGCTGAGGTACTCCCTACACAAGGATCCGGGTGACGATTCACCTATTTCTATCTATTGCTAAGAAACTCTCTAACATTTGTCCACGATAAGCCTAGCAGAGCGAGTCTAATCAGCTGAGGAGTGCTCTTTAAAAAAAAACGCACGATGTCGGTGTAGATAACGGTTTTAATTATAGGGAAAGATTCGGCTTCTACTTCTGACAGGAATAGAAAATTCAGGTTGCACTGCATTGTGTCATCAGCTCAGAGTCACATCTAAGTTATTGCTTGAGGGCCAACATTTGTCAAACTGAGCCGGGCCAGGTCTTTAATTTTACTACTATAACGCAGTTGCGGCTCCTTATGGATGCATATGGGTAAGCCTGTTGGGTAAGCCTGTGATTATTAAAATTTTATTTTATATTGCTTGGATTAGATTTCGTGATCTCTGTTGTTTGAGTCCTCTGATTTAGTCAAGACGGACTGAATTCGAGTGGTACTTCGGTCCAGTTTTTCCCGCTACCAGTGAATTGTATTGAGGGAAAAGAATAATACAGGGAAAGGAATTAGGGAAAAGAGATTTTTTAAAGGAGTGCTATATATTAAGGAAATATGGTATACTTTGTATAATTTCTGTTTTGCAGTTTGCTGATTAATCTGCGAGAATTTTTACCAAATCCGATTCATTTATTATGGTCTGTTTGTTTATTTCAAATATAACTTGTAAATTTCTAGTTTTAACGATCTTCTTATTTTATTATTATTTTAATTCAATTTTTAATTCCCTAAGTTTTTATAATTTCCGTAATCAATTAGTAATAGTCTCGAATTCAAAGGAATTCAAAGTTATGATGTACAATTTATAGGTATCGATTGTATCGAGAGTTGACACAGCACATCGTGCGACAGTTGTTAGTTTCATTGTAATTTGTGTGCTGAATGAATTCATTTTAATGAAATAAATGCAATTTTCCAGTGTTTTTTAATTTATTGCTTTATAAATTTTATAAGAGAAAATAAAACATGAAATTTTGTTTAGCACGATGCTCAAATGAATTTCTATGGAACGAAGTTGGCAACGTGCTCGAGTGATTGTCTTGTTAAAATTTTCGAGGTCACTTTTCTGCATTTCCTCTCCAAATTTTAATTTTTTAAATATTAATTTTTGGCTTATATGTTTTAAATTACTCGTTTAAATAATATAAAAATTTGTTAGGCACTTAATGATATTTTAGTTAAAACCTTCTGGGCAAACGTATCTTGTAGCAGAACTCAGTGGGCATGATGGTCCCGTATGGCAAGTTGTGTGGGCCCATCCTAAATTTGATAATATTTTGGCATCATGTTCCTATGACAAGTAGTCCTATTTTTTTATTTTTGGGAGTGAATTTCTCGCCATATTTTCTTTTTTTTTCATTTGAAATTGAAGAAAGTTGAGGATCTTCTTTCATTTCTCTTATTTTTATTCTTTCTTTTCTTTCATTATGGTCATTTTTTCTTAATTTATTTAATTAAAAATTAATTTATTAACTGCTAGGAAAGTAATCATCTGGAAAGAAATCTCTGGTAAATGGCAGAAAATTTATGAATGGAATCAACATGAAGCTAGTGTTAATTCCATCTGTTGGGCACCTCATCAGCGTGGATTAATCTTAGCTTGTGCGTCTACTGATACTTCTCTATCATTACTATCATTCGTTCCCGAAACTGGGACGTGGAATTCACGAAAAATTTTGAATGCCCATGAACAAGTTTTTTTTTTTAAATTTCTTTGTTTCTTTTCACATTTATTATTAAAACTATAGCAATATTTAATAATTATTCTAATTCTTTTTTTTTAAGAACACTTACCATTACTACTTAGATTTGCAGCTCTGGCTTGTCGCACTAGACATACATGCCAGTTGAGTCCAATGGCGATAGAAGTATAGTTGAGTCGTCAGCACCATGAGGATTTTTTGGTCAGATTTACTCCTGTCAGGAGTAAAATCTCAGTATCGACGCATCGAACTGAGCAAGATCCCACTGAGTCATTCTATTTTCCTTTGTTTTTCGCTGTTAGGTGATACTGCCGCCCAATGAAGAGTGGTACGACAGCTGATTCAAACTCAAATCGGTGGCAGTTATCTTGCCACTAACGCATTTTCCAATTCTGTTTCTATTATATTCAAAGTAATCTTTTAATGAAAATTTGATGATTATTTCGTTTTATCATGTCTCTTCTAGGGTTGCAATGCTGTCTCATGGGCTCCAGCTTTATATTCAACGTCAACTGCTCAAGCAGAAACAATGACTGCCACAAAACGTTTGGTTTCTGGCGGAAATGATAACCTTGTTAAAATATGGAAGTTATATTTTTATATTTCTTCATTTTTGAATTAAAATTTTTGGATTTAAAATGATTCCCCTTGGCGATTTGCAGAGAAAGTCCTGATGGAATTTGGAATTTAGAACATAATTTAGAAAGCCACACCGATTGGGTACGAGATGTTGCTTGGGCACCAGCTATTACTAGCACTATTAATACAATTGCTTCTTGTGGACAAGTAATATTTTGAAACGACTTGTCCTTTCAAATTTGATTTAATGTAATCTTAAAACTATTTTAATTTTTTGAAATTATATATTAAATTTGTATTTATATGTATTATAAATTTATATATAAGTTATATGTTAAATTTATATATTTTGAAGTATAAAAATTTTTAGGATAGACGAGTTCTTATTTGGCGATGCTCTAATTTAAATGACGGAAACTGGAGTGCAGTTGAACTTCATATTTTTGATGACGTACTCTGGCACGTTAGTTGGTCATTATGTGCGACCATTCTTGCTGTATCAGGTGGAGACAATAAGGTGATTTTTAATTCGATATTTTAATTAATGTCTTTAATACATCATTAGTATAAATTAGTACTTTAGTAAATAAATTAGTACTTCTTGCTCCTTCGAAAATTTTTGGTGGGAATGAAAAAATATTTTTTTAAAAGCACTTTTCTTTCTTCTTAATTAAAATAATTGAAAATATTTATTTTAGGTGACTTTATGGAAGGAGAATCTGCAGAATTCATGGATACGAATATCAGAAGTCGATGAAGAAAAGAAAAAATGATTCTTTATAAATTTTTGATATCGAATTTTTTTGATTTAGTTAATTTTAATTTTAAATATAATTTTTTAAACAAGTTTTTAAGCAAGTTTTTAATTTTAACTCCACCAATTTCTGAATTTTTTCTCGAAATTTTAATCTAGGAATTTTTTTTTTTTATAAATTTTGAAAATATTTTTTCATGGCAAGTTCTTTGTGCTTGTATGGTTAATAACGAAAAGTGAGGGAGGAAGGGGAGAGATGACTGGTAATTTTCTTAGTCCTTAAACAAATTAAAGTTGAGTTTTCTCAATTTGTTGGAGTTCTTTTATAACAAAAGCCAAAAAGAGAGATGGAAGGTCTTTAGTGCTGTGGTGGTTTATGAAGGTTTAATTTCGAATTATTGGTCTTGAAACGATTAACTGATCAATGTATGCGATGTTGCTGGCTGTGGATGGGTAATTGAGTGTTCAGGTCGGGAGCTAAGGACTGCGTGATAGGTGGTATATAGGCTTTCATCTGGTATCTTCCCGGCTTTGCCGCGAGATTTTAGTCTAATTGTGGTTTAAGGTTTAAAAATCTGTTATTCGTATGCTAATTATTCTTAGATAATAATATATGTTCATGTCGAATCATCGTGACAATTTTTCTTGTCCACTATTTCGTTTCTTCTGTTATTTTTTATTGCGATTCATAATGGGTATTCCGGACTCCCTGGCATATTTACCCAGTGCGACAAGCCAGCGGAGGGAGTTTAACCAGTAATGGTGAGGACTCTTAAAAACCAAAAACCAAAGGGGTATTGAAAAATGTGGGAAGTTTTTTAACTTGGCAATTTCGAGTTAAAGACTCCCACAATGCTCGAAGATTCTTATTTCGTAGCCGACTAACATTCCATAAAAGAATTTAAGATATGACTATATGATTTTAAAAACGAAAGCGAAAGCTATATGGTTTACTTGAATGATAAAGAGATCTAAGGAGATTTTACAGCTGTGGAGAATTAGGACTGATTCCTAGTTCTAAGCTACAGTGTCTAAGAAATTAGGGTAAAGAATTATGACAAATGGTATAGCGAAATTTGGAGCATTAAGGAAACTTATTGGAATTTTGAGTAGTGATGGTGGGGTATAATGGGCTTCAAGGAAATATTAAGCAAATAAGGTACGGTTTGAAGGGCACTGAACCTAAAGGAATATTACTGATGGATTAGGGTAAAATGCTATTTTAGGATGGAAAAAACCATGTGCACGAGTAATCGGATTCAGAGACAAAGGGTGTTCGAAAAATTTTTACTGTTTAAGCAGGTAATAGATGAGATTTTTCCCGAGTACACATTAAATTATTATGCACAATAAGAATTGTCTGTTTATATATTGCATAATATATTTATTGCTGTAATAAGCGAAGGAGGTCATAATGTTGCATAAAAATTTGAAAAAATAAAATTTTTTAAGGAAAAATATATTTTTAGAAAATAATAAATAAAAATATAAGTATACAATTTAAGTAGACAAAATGTATTGAAAAAAAAGGGAATATTAGGGATGAAAACATGAACATAAGCCCATTCAATGCGGTGCTGGCATCGAATCTGATTCGCAGCCTCTGGTTGTGTCCTGTATTTAGGTATATATTGCTCCAATAAGATAGCACGTTCTCGACCAGTTTGCCGAGAAACTTCCATTCTTCTTCAGATTTTAGGATTATTCCTAAGTTGTGGCGATGAGTACGCTTTTTCGGTCCGGGCAATATATTTCTTCAAAAATGGTTCGTTGCTTTTATCACTTTTGTGACAAATTTTTGAATTGATTCCGGCCATAATGGCAATTTTTCTTCTCAACACAGTTGGGATTTTCTGAGATAAAATCGTGTTCTGTTAAACATATATATATATATATGGAAATTCAGTTTAGATTTGTGGCTTTCAGTCGTTTGGTGCTGCACCAATATTGTCTCCGCGTAAAATATTACCAAATTTTTCATATGATAAGTCAGATGATTGTTTTATTGCGTCGTTTCAATCCACTGCGAATAAACTTGGAGCCATTACATGTACCTCAGCAGTTAAAGGCATAAATCGTATATATTTTGGTTGTTTTAAATTCATAGGTGTTGGACTTATTGCCTTCATAGAATGCCAGTGTCCAAAATTGAAACGGTTGCTTTCACAGAAAGTGATATTGAATTAAATTCGTACTGAATTCCATCAAGAATTTTAATACTTCATTAAAAACCTTTTCGAAGTTGTTCAAATAATTTCCCTATCCTACTATCCTTAAAATTTGTTTTTTTACGTCCCAGTGAATCCCATTGTATTCTTTCTGTTAACTTTCATTGTAAATAATGAGGATCTCACCATTATGAAAGGAGTACTATATAGCACTGGTTTTAATATAATATTCCGAGATGTGAGAGTTTATGGAATGGATTTTTTTGTCAGTGAAATGAACAATTCATTTTTATAATTGGTTCGGATTAACTTTGTTTTATGCCAGTTATCTCTCGTCGATGTGCGCATACCGATGTAAGTATACCAAATTTTGATGCATATCGCTCAAAATCAGCCTTAGATAGCTCAAAAGCTGCCAGAGAAAGTGAAGATATACGAAGGGCTACTCCTCAAGGAATTTTTTATGGCGGTATTTATAATTTTTTAACAAAATCATGTCATTTTATGCCTAATTTTGCATATTTTATAAATTATTTCATTATCTTTCATCTATTTTTTTTTTTTTAATTTTTAAATTCATTCTTAAGAGAAGCCATTTATTTATAATTATTTATGTCTTTCTTTTTCAATATTTGCAGTTGGTGGAGCTATTGCTTTATTGGCAGCGAAAGAAATCGTTCAGAAAACTGTCATCTTTAAATCTATGGCAGCCGATCAGTTAGCACTTGCTTCGACCGAAATTAATTTGGATGAAGTCCCACTGGGACAGGTTATTTCTAAAATTTTTGGTACATTTCATTTGAAATATCATTTTTCAGCTTGGTTATATGCAAATGTGCATGTATAGATCGTTTTTTTTTCCTTAAGCTTTTGATCGTAATAAAAAAGTCCCTCAATTGGTATTGAAGATTTTGCTATTGTTCCATTTGGTTATTTTTTCGATTTAGACGAAAACATTTGAGTGGCAAGGAAAACCTGTTTTTGTTAAACATCGAACTGAAGATGAAATAAAACGTGAGAAAGAAGTGGTAGTAAGCGAATTGCGAGATCCTGAACATGATGACCAGCGGGTGCAGAAAGATGAATGGTCAGTGGTCATCGGTATATGCACACATCTCGGGTGTGTACCGATAGGTTGGTAATATAATGTAATTTTTATAATTCTTAATGCTTTTGTTAAATCTTTTTTCTATAATCCACGGCATTATATTTAAAGACTATTTTGTTTTCTTTGTCTTAGAAATAAAATAAAACTTCAGATGATAATTGCGAATGAATCTTTTTAGCTAATGCCGGTGATTTTGGTGGATATTATTGCCCATGCCACGGATCTCATTATGATGGTTCAGGTCGAATTCGAAGAGGTCCAGCACCTCTCAATCTAGAAGTCCCGAAATATAAATTCAAAGATAATTCATTAATTATTGGATAAAAACCTATATATTTATATTCATTTACCAAACTTTGGTGCACTTAGTTATTATAATATGTATTTAGTACTACTTTATTGCTTCAGTTACGTTTTAAATTTAAAAAAATGTATTTGACTTTCGTTAAAGAAATAAAAATTTGTTTCTTTCTGAATTTACAACAAAAATTTTACAACTTTCTTTGTTAAATTTCCAACACTAATTAGATTTCAACAAATTTTTTAGAAAAATCAAAAAATATTTGCAAAAAATATTTTATTTAATTTTTTCCTTCTACTGATATAGGAATGATTGTCGTTAAAATTTTAGTTCATTTTTATTCGAGCTTTTCATTGAAAAAATGCGAAAGAAATTTAGGCATATGTATAAATTTATTACAAATTTATATAGATATTTATTAAAAAATATATTTACGAAAAACACTGTCTTGTGCTCATGTCAAGCAAATGAATAAACGGAGAAACAAAAAAGAAAAAAATAGCGAACATCGTTAGGAAAATAAAAATTAAAAAACTGAGAGGTATGATAAGTAATAAATAAAAGAAGCAAACTCTAGTGTGGATATTGTAAGGTTCCTAGTTTAAAATTCATTTTCATCTCGTGAATGAACTTTTAAAAAATTTTAGAAATTAACCAGCACTTAACCAACTTGGAGAATATATTCATAAGAATCTCAACCAAACAATTTATTAATTGATGAATCGTTTCAAACCATAATGGAATTAGGTCAAATCAAAATTGTTTGAAACGTTGAAAATGAAATTGTTAAATTATTAAGAAATCATCGAAGATAAGAAAACAAATCGAAAAATGCAGAAATCAATAATAGTGATTTTAGAGATGACTTTATGAGATAGTTGCAAGTTTCCACATACCATCATTTAAATGATGTAAATTTTCTATGCCAATGCCCTGTAAAAATAATTGGTAAAAAATTAAAAAGTTAATCCCATTTAAGTAAAAAATTGAAGTGTTTTTCAAGCAATTTTATGCAATTGAGTGAGAAAATGGTAATAATTTATTAAATAGTTATTATTCTTTTCTCATTATCACTTAATTAACCTTGTTCACTGATCGAATTTCTTCGGGAGATAATTTCATAATTCCTATTGCCAAAGCGTGTTCTTTCCCTTCCGCCATTATTGCAACTAACTTAAATTGACATTTAAAACTATAATAATGATAAGAAAATATAATAAAATTCCTGTTTTAAAAAAACTAAAATATTAAATACAGAAACATATAGAATTGCAATGATTTTCAAGCAATTTCAAGCAATGGATGAAGAAATATTAAGATGTACAGAATCCTTTGGGATATCCTCGTTCATTTTTGCACCAGGACTTGTTAAACCCGGACACATAATTTGTGAGCCGTTAAGCACGAATTTTATTGCTCCTTTGTCGACCTAAATGATATCAAATTTGTTTATAATTTGACAAAAACTAAATTAGCCGAATATATCACAAACACTTTTTTATAGCAGTAATGAAATTCCGATAAAAATTGAAATATAATATTATTTAATATTTAAAAATATTTATTATTATTAAATATTTAATAATATTTATTTAATATTTTAATATTTTTAAATATAATCTTGGAGAAGATTCTTGGAGTAGATTCTTGGAGATTGCCATTTTTTCTTGAAATTTCTTGAAATATTAAAAAAAATGTAACTAAATAGAAAAGTATATAAAAGTACAGTAAGAACAAGTTAAAAAGCCGTCTTTCTGACTGTGTCAGGTCAGATCTTGATTGGACCAACTCGCTTTCAACTATCACAACTATATCAACTATCACAAGGTTTAGTAAGTAACGAAAGCAAGTAAGGTGTCAATTCCTATGGTTGGCGGCAAAGAACAACGGCATTTTGTGATGGTACTGCTATAACCAGCGAGAACGGCATTTTGTGATGGTACCGTTAATGCTAGTGACATCTGAGCGAGTGGATACAATCATGTGATTTTATCCGCTTATGCCGGACCCGTATGTATCTGAGATTATCTTAGAAATGAGTGGTCAAAGCCAGATAGCTTCTTAATATCTTTCACTTTCAATAACGAGATCTCATAGCCAAACATGATGAGTAAACTGTAACTATATGGACGATGATTATCATTTTTATGGTGATTTCGCGATGGCTTCATAAAAGTTTCGTCAATCGGAAGAATACACCTCTAGCTAGTGTTTACCAGTTATAGTTTTGCTTTTTGCCTATTAGGATCAGAGTGGATTCAAGATAATAAAAGTTTCGTATTCCCTCAATCGGCAATGGACTGATAAAAAGAGGTTATTTTATTAGCTACCAGTATATAGGATGATCTCTCGTTTATTTATATTGATCCTGAGGTCCAATTTTCGCTGCAGTTATCGACACATCGTTTAATATTATTATTTGCATTTCGTTAAAACTGTCAATAAAAAAACCTGCACCATCAGCATACTCAAGATCTATGATATGATTCTCCGGACTGATTTGTACATCTCTTGAGCGCCCACAAGCGGTGATGATTATCCAGCCTATCGTATGGTTAAATATTGTAAAGGAAAGGATGCGGCTTTGACGGACACCAGTCCTTATTTCGAAGGATTCTGTTAGTTTCTCATATACATAGATGTACGCTGATAAAATACCTTTATAAGTTGAATGCTTTTCTGGAACATCATCATATTCCATCACTCTCCAAAGTGCTCTATCAACTGAATCGAAGATGGCTGCAAAATCGATAAAAAATGAGAGTGGGTGGCTGATATTTAAATCGATATTCCAGCATCCTTCTTGGAGTGAATATCTAGTCAACATAATCACATCCCGGTTTGAACCCAGCTAGGACGCGTCCCGCTGTCCTGTACATTATTATAATGCCTTAAGTCAGAAGGGAAATAAGAATTTTCGATGAGGCGTCTAACAGGCTGATTTCTCGATAATTATTCACATCCTATCACTTCTGGGAACAGAATTGCGTTGCTTCAGCCATCTAATAAAATTTCTTCTTCCATACCAGAAAGTATATTTGTTGAAGGTGTTATAAGAAAGACGATAGACAAAATTTGAAGAATTTGGCTCGAAACGATCTTCTCCAGAAGTTTTATTGGCCTTAAGTTTCTGGATGACAGTGATTATTTCCTCTTCTGTTGGCAGTTCGCAATTGCAAACCTGTGGTTCAACGAGCGTGTCTATATTGAGGTCAAAAGATGACGCATGGTTAAGTTTGGCCTCAAGGAATTCCTTCTTTCCATTCTTATGAGGCGATCTTTAATACTCTTAACAGACACACACCATTGCTATCCTTTACCATTTCACTGATAATTCTTCCAGTTATAGTTGTTTTATAAAAAAGATGAATAGTTTTCTATTATTAACCTCATCGAATCGCCATCTCCTTTCTAAGGCTATATCGCTTCAATAATATTTCTGCCATGTTGTAATTGTTGTAATTATCCAGATTTCCTGACATTTCGCTGTTTTGACAGACTTTTCAGAGAGCTGAGCAATTGCTTACGATACCCAACTAGCACATTTCCTACTATCATATCCTAGTGTGGAAATGGTTGACTTTCGGAGGCATTCTTTTAACTGGAACCAGTACTCATCTGCCGTTCCAGAGATGGCAATGATGTTCATTTCAGTGAGGTATTTCAATAATTCGGTTTGAAATGAGTTTACTATCCCCGAATCTTTTAATATTAAATAGTTGAAAGATTTTGGAGTTGTTTCTTACCGACATACGAATATTGGCTTGGACCATAACATAGCCTGATCCATGAAGGTTAGTGGTTTCAGAACGACTATCTAGTACTAACGACTACCTACTATCTAGTACTATCTACTACTAACGACTATCTAGTACGGAACCCTTCTAAAATAAAATACAGCGACTGACTAAAATATAATTAATGTTATTGGAATGTTACTCGAAGGATTCCAGATTCAAGATGACTAGATATCTTCTCTGATGCCGGAATTAGGCTGTTAGGCAAAACGAAGAAGACGTTCTCAATTGGCGTATCGGATGCCATATTTGCCAATTACCGAGTTATCGTTACGGCATTGTAAGCTACGCGTGCATTCCAGTCTTCTCCGATTATGACCATGTCACTTTTCAGTGAAAACGTGGTTAGAAGTTGATAGAACTTATCCTTTTACAATCGCTATATCATTCCGCCCCGAGTTATCCGAAACACCACAATGATACAGCCAGCATCTCCGCTCGAGCTTTGACATTGCTTGAGACTCGAAATATGGAAGACGGATCTCCGGTAAGCAAGTGACATCCACATGACACTTGGAAAGAGTGTGGACAGTGATCGTTTGGCTTGAGAAGTTACACGTTAACACCTCGCTGCACGTGCAGAAAGCCGTTCCCTCAACAGGTTTCGAGCAGTTATCATGGCTAACGAGCAGATCATATTCTTAAGCCTTAAGCCTTGAGGTTGTTTGACTACATGCAGATTGCATACTTATCGCATGTACCACCGAGCTGGACGTCAGATGCGTCGATCAAAAAGATCTGACCCTTTCACCACAGAGTCTTAGTAAAGTGGGTCCCCAGAAACCACCTTTTATTATGATGGCAGGTTTATTCCTGCCAAATAAAAAGAAAAAAAAGATAAATATAAGATAAAAATAAAAAGCAAAGGCAATGCTGATAAATTAATCATATTTTCAGCAAAGAATAAATAAAATTTTGCACTAATAAAATAAAATTCAACCTGTTGATGAGGCATCATGAAAGGATATTTATGAAGTAATCGAAGAGATGGAATATAAGAAATATCCCTCGGCTTTATAAATATAATATTACCTTCGAAATCGGCAATTAGTTCAATATGATCTGTAAACAAATATAAATATCATCTAAAGGAAATTAATTCACTAAATGTTGCAAATCGGGAATAAAAACATATTCAGCGAAATAAAAAAAAAAAAAAACTATATTTGTAAACTACGAAACTATATAAAAATAATAAAAACAATTTAAAAATGAGTGAATCTTCAAAAAAAACAAACCTTTGCATTTAACAAGCTTAAAACTCTCCTTTTTAGGAAGAATTTCGTTTATATAACTCTCCAATGAAGGATATTGTTCCAAAATTTTGGCTCTAATTTGTTTCTAAACTGGTAAAATTTAAAGTTATTAAACATCATTTCACTAAACATAAGTTGAAAAAAACCATTTAAAAAACAATACTCAAAATGACAATACTAAAGGAAATTTTAAATTATGGAATAACAAAGATAAATAACAAAGAAAAAAGTTTTTCTAGAAGGAAAGGAAATGTAGCAGAAAAAATTCCAAAATCGCTTGTAAAATAGTTGAAAATTCATTTTCTGGCAAAAAAGGAATAAAATTAAATTTAACTGTAAAATTGCGAATAATACTTTATTATGGATTAAGATAAACAGTTAATCAATAATTAAAAATTAAAAAGAAAAATTAATGTTGTCATACAAAGTAATAGAAGGTAGTTGCTGCTGGATTAGAAGCGGCTGAGCAGCGCCAACCCCTTTCTTTATATCCCTCTTTCCAAGCCCACTCTCTCTTATCACTTTTCTTTAAAAATAATTAAATGTATAATAAAAATTAAAATATTACTTGTGCTGAAGATTTTAACTGCTGAACTCCAACAATGTCTTCTTTCGGTTCAAATTTTTTGAACATTCTTGTTTGAATACTAATAATATAATACAAATATAATAAAATAAATTCTTTAATAACCAAGATGGCCTAAGCTGAAAAAGAAATTAATTAACTGAAAATTTATTATTGGGGAGAAAGTGAAGAGAAATAATATTAACAGCCGCATCCGCAGAATAGCTGTCTGAAATATAAGGCTCGGCCCAAAGTGATTACGTGGTCCTTTTTTTTAAAGTTTCTAGTTTCTCATTAGCTTATCAGCTTTAAGCGAGTGTTATCAGTTTTATTGTTAGAGCTATTCTATTTTTTCGTAAAATTATATGCCTGCTAATGTCAGCGAAAACAGATTCACTTTTCTCTCATTGCAGTGGAAATGGCTTAGGTAAAAGCTTTCCATAACTTCGCTCGAGCTGGACCCACTTCATTGGCTGAAAGAATAAAGGCCTTTCGCGAGGTGGTCATTTGAAAATGTTGGGGTGACCTTCAACAGGCTTATTTCAGGGGCTCAGTCGAAGTTATAATTGAAAACGCTGGAAGAAACGTATCTCCTGCGTTTTATTTTTTCTTTTGTTCCATTTGGAAAAGTTTTAGGCCAAACAATTGCTTATTTAATGTTAAATGAAGGCAAAAAACGAACGGAAGAGTGGTACTCAGAGTTTATTGCAAATAATTTGTTGGGAATTTTTTTTAAGCGAAGAAAAGGTTAAAATTTTTTGGAAAAAATTTTTTTTTGAGAGTGCTTACTGTTTCTGGCCAGGCTCGCTCCACTTGTTGAAGCATACAAATTTTTACAGAGAATCATTTGGGACTAAAAATTTAGAGGGAAGTGTGAGTAGCTAGTACCAGTCGCTGGACTTTTATAAGGTAAGTTTCCTCTTCCCGAGAGTAGAACCCCAGCACATGCTCTTCGAAATAAGAGCATGAATTTCCTGAAAAAATCTTTCTCAGAATTCAGAACTTTTGTCCTTTTGGATTCGTTTGGATCGATTTTTAATTTTCTTTTTCATTTTGATTTTGATTAAGATTTCAATTGTAGCTATGTAACCAATGCTTTTCCCCCACTTGGTCCAATCTTATTTTTTGACAAAACAATTTAAGGGAATAGTCCTCCATCGTTAATGAATATGGTAAAAAGTAAAGTAAAAGGAAAAAGGAATGTTTCTCCTCTCAATGCAGGTTAGATAGTAGTCGGAAATTTTTTTAACAAAGAGTTTTTGTGGAATGATTGCACATATTTTTAAAAAGATTTTCTCCAATTTGTAGTAAAATTTTTAAAAATTTATCGTCTTTTATTTTTTTTCTATAAATCGAAAAATACTAAAATTTTAGTCGTAGCTTCTGAAGGAAAAATTCATACAAAAGATATTTTCCCACAAGCAATAGAAGAAAGTAGAATGGCTGCGGATAACTGTGATGATTATATCGATTATAAAAATGATTGCAGTGGATGGAGTAAAATCAAAGCGATGTATTTGAACGACGGTTTAAATTTTAAAAAATTTTTTGTCCTTAAAATTTCATTTTATTGATACTTGTGGATTAACTATTTGTATTTTCTTTTTTTTCTGATTTTATTTCATTTTTTAGGAATTTTCGTAAATTTTTTTCCAGTTATCTGTGAAAATTTTCTTTTCATCTGTTTTTCATTTTTTCCAATTTTTTTCTTCCATTTTATCTCTCTTATTTGAGCGATTGTTAGAATTATGTATGGAAAAGGATATAAGCATTAAAATGACTCAATTTGCATTCGTTATGGGGTTCCTCCTTGGTGGACAACGAAAAAGTTATATTGCTAGAGAACGTTTCATGACATATAGTATGGGAATGCGATATCTTGGTGCAACAGATGCCAAAGTTGGTTTCTGTACTTTTCAATTTATAGAAAAAACAACATATTTGTTTGTAAGCGAAGACTATAAATTTATTACTTTTGCAGCAAAAAGGAATTTTTTACAAAATTCCGTTGCATCTCAACGAAAAATTTGTTTTAGATTCGTAAAATGGATTATTCTACAGTTATGTTTATAAAGCATGGAATTTCATCTGGATTAAAATTATCTGTTTTGCTTGGAGCAATTATGTAATATTTATTTCATTAATCTTTTAATTCACTTTTTAAAAATTCTGTTTGCAAATTTACTATTTTTATTTTATTATATTTTTTTAGTTTCTTACAGATTTCTTACTACTCATTTAACGGTATGGCGTAATCGTTTTAGTTTTTGGTATTTCCCTGTGATTTCAGGTAAATTTAGAATTTTTTGTAAAATGCGATAAAGTTTACGATGGTATGAAACGTGGATTATTTATATGTAGTATGGCATACGCATTTAATTCCTTTTTCAGTTGTATAGTAAATTATATTAAATAGTGACGCGATAAGTATTATGTTGAATATCCTTAATTTTTTTGTTTTTTAATATTTTTTTCATTTTTGCTCGAATTATTAAAACTCAGATCGCTTAATATGGTTCTAAAAAAAATGAAATCTGATATTTCAGCATCAGTCAGTTCCTTGTTAATGTTGCCTTTGGGCATAGAAAAATTTTTTCAAGCATTTGCAGTCGGAATTTCATCTGGGTTTGTTTTTTTTTATTGGAATTTTCTATTTGAAGGATTTGAAGGAAGAAATGTCAATTTATCAAGTTAAACATATCATTTCTAGACTCACAGTATCAGCAATAATCTATCTTTATGCTGTAGCAAATAAGCAGTCGTTTAATAATGCATATTTTCATCTGAAATATCACTATGAAAAAAATATGCGGGAAATATGGAGAATACAAACGCAAATGAAAAAATCAAATAGATTTTTGAAATGGAGGCAATTAGTGCACGCGAAAATTACTTCAACGATGAAATCGCTGAAGTTAAATAACGATAATGGATAATCCTAAGAATCTATTTTAAATTTTTTATACGCATTTTAAGAGGATTGCTCATTCAGTATTTTTATTATTTGCATTTTTGTTATTACGATGAGCAGTTTTTGTCATGGAATCATTTGGTGATAAAAATATCTTCTCATTACTTTATAACGCAGCTTATTTTATAATCTTTGCACATAGTATTTTGACATTTGCATTACTGCTCACTCATGATATTTATGATTAGGTTCGTTCCGCTGATGTACTATGAATACAAATTTTTGCCGAGGAGACTCATATTGGAGACAGAAGAACATTCCATAATTTAATAATTTTAAAATTGGACCTGAAAAGCTTATTGTAGCAGTCTATTGAATATTTTCAATCGTTTCTTTATAAAAAAATCATATGATTTAAGTAAAAAATCGATCAGGTTCTGTATATCAATAATAGCTTTTCAATAATGAACAATCTTTCGAGAATTGAATAATGCAAGAATTCGCTATTTTTTCAACAATTTTTCAGCTTAAACTCTATCTGAATGGTAGTAATATGGGAGCGCTGATATTTAAGATGGATTAACTTTTGTAGATATCGCCAAATTTTTCTTCATCTAGAAAAGTTTAATTTATTTGTCAATAATATTAAGATATATTTGCTTATGTTATCGAAATAAAAATAAAATAAATTATAAATAAAGATAAATAATAAAATAAACAAATGGAAATAAATACCTAATACAGCGAATATTCATAACGTTTTTTAACATGCCATGTGTTTCGTCAAGTTTGCGGCTGCCTTCGATTCAATTGATAGCGCGGAATTTTGGAGGATAATGGAACGCGACGGTGTTCCAGAGAAAATCATTCGACTCATAAAGGCATTTTATGAGTGCAGGTCGGCGCAGGGATATGGGGAATTGACAGACTCCTTCGAAATAAGAACTAATGTCCTTCAGGGCTTCGTTCTTTCCCCTACAGTATTCAACTATGTAATAGACTGGATAATGGACACCGCTTGTCGGCACTCAAGGGTTGTCCAAATTAATCCAGAGCATTGTATCACAGATGTTGAATACGTTGATGATGTAGTGCTCTTTGCTAATAGTTATGATGAAATGCAAATAACGTGTCAGCAACTGCAGTGAGAATCGGATTCAGGGTCAATATGAACAAAACGAAGGCCTTTTCGTCTTATCTGAAAGAAACTGATAAAATGCCTCTTTTTGTAAATTTATTGCCGGTTGAGGAAGTGCCTGATTTTAAATACCTTGAATCCTCTCTAATACCAAATGGACAGGCAAAAGATGATATTACAACTCGGGTCATGGCACTAGAAATGCGTTCTTCTGGCTGACAAAACCGTTATGGAGCCGTCGTGAAATCGCCATAAAAACGAAAGTTCGCATATTGCCGTGATCCGTTCGATCTTACTATATGGTTCTGAGACATAGCCAATAAGAATAGAGGATATTAAGAAGTTATCTGCTTTTGACCACTCTTGTTTAAGGTACATTTTACGGGTCCATCGAGCGGATAAAATATTTTATGATTGCATCCATTTTCGTTCAAATACCACTTGCATTAATAATGTTATAAATGCAACGCGTCGCCTTCGGTGATTAGGGCACGTTCTCCGTCGTCCACCCCAAGAGTTGTCGCATATTTCATTATTTGCTAAACCGTATGATGATTGGCGTCAAAAACGAGATGGGCCAATCAAGATCTGGACTGATACGGTTAGAAAATATTTTGAACATATAGACCAGCAATATATGGACTTAGACGATAGAAAAAGGAATGGCTTCTATTACTGTCGACGATAGCATCAGACCTCGCCGCTTGGAAGCATCTTACGCTTGTAGCCGTTGGAATCAGCCTAACCAATAATAGTTGAGCTGTTAGAAGAAGAAGAAGAAATACCCAAAATAAAATATTGCTGAATATAATGGACAGTAAAATAATTATATTTCTCTTTGATTAACCATACATGATAATTTTTTTTTTTTCGCCTATGCTAGTGAATCAAAATATTTGAAATTTAGAAGCAATAATTTTTCAAAAATTTTCCAATTTGATTTTTTTAAAATCATTCAATTTTGTTATCACTGAAAAGCGTTTTGTGAGTTGCCGACTCTTCCAACTGTTCTAATAAGATATAAGAAAATAATTACTATTGCGTTACAAATTTTCGTTTGGATATGCAATAATTTTTCCAGAATAAACCAACGATATCTGGAAAAATCTGGATGACTGCTGGTGGCTGGTGGTTCACCTGTAACTTTATCTCCAAATGGCTCTATGGTGGAAGTTCTTGATACGACTTTTGTATCTTCTGATGAGCATGCTACTCCCAGCCCAGTGGTACATTCGATAAGCGTACAATGCGGGCGTATCTAAAGCGATCCCAGGGCTGATAAATAAAATATGCTCGCAAACCGGGGTAATTGCTCGAAACCTATCAAGAGAAGGGCCTCTCTGCAAACATGGCGAGGTTAGCCGTATCAGAGTGGGCGCTTATGGACATTGCAAGCCAAGCGATCACTGTCCATACTCTTTTTAAATATCGTGTGGATATCGCCCGCTTGTCAGAAGTCCGTCTTCCCCACTTTAAGTCTCGGAGCAGAGGCTATATCACTATGGTGCTTCGGATAACTCGGGGCAAAATGTTTTGTTAATATTGGAAAAATCGAAGTAATAAGCGTTTTCCCATGCTTAAAACCGTAAATAAGCGTACATCAGGTATTTTTGAATGCAAATTTCCTTTGAAAATATTATCAATTTGTAAAGAAATTATACGTCGAATTATAAATTAAAATCTTCTTTCCTTAAAAAATATTCCAAAAAAACAAGAAGGAATATGACCAAAGATCAGAATGTATTTATTTGTTCGTTTTTATTATTTGGGCAGTGGGTGAGTTTATAGGTCGGTGTGTTAGTGAGTCAGTCAGTTTTTATACGATACGTCCTTCCTATTCACTCGCAATTCTACCTTTCTGATAATTCTCATAATTGATATTACTCTGCACATAGAAGTTTTTTTCACAACTGTTTATTGGTGATAAATTTGACTTGAATATTTATTCAAACTAATAAAAATAATTCAGCTAAAAATATTATTGACGGACAGGAAAGCGAAATTGATTCCGACTGTAATGGGGGAAAAGACTCTGCTTTAAAGAAACTAAAATAAAAAAGATCGACGAAGATTTCTTTTTCTGAAAGCAAACATTCTTCGTTCCACTAAATATTTTTACGATTAGCTCGAGCATTGGTTTCGAATGTACCAATTAATGTATCAGTCGTTTCGAATGTACCAACTGGAACCGCAATAAGACGAGCACTTCGCTGATTCCGACTGTAATGGGGGAAAAGACCGAATTTATTTCAGTGGAACCGTTTTGCTGGAAAATTACACGGCAGTGGAAATAAAGGTCTTTCCAGTTGACAACACCATTTTTCACTTTTAAATAATACGTGTCTGAACTTCATTAAGAAACACATCGTCGTCTCCAGTGGCTTACTTACACAGTGCCTCAATAATAAAAACAGCAATCCCCACTTTACAAAGGTCTATAATAGCGGTACCAATTGGAACCGCAATAAGACGAGCACTTCACTCTTTCCTACCGAATATCGATCACTAATAATCGGACGTTGTTTTGTCGCATCGAAATTTTCCTCTGATTACGTTATGGACAACGACTGTTGTATTTGCCATGTTGAGTTTTGGTTTTCTCCTTTTGCGTTTATAGTAATTTTTAAAATTAGAGCGCATGAAAATTGGTCCTGTGGAAATCTTTTATTCGATTTTGATTTTAGAAATTTCAGAAATCAGAAAATTTTTTGAAATTTTCGCGAATAATTTCAATTTTTATTTTTAAAGGTGAAATTAAATGACGAATTAAGAATAATTGAGTGGGAGAATGGTTCCGAATGACGAACAAATGGCTTCTTCGTCGTCGGACATTCTGCAGCGGGGAACTCCCGAAAATATTTCTCAGCGTTCGTCGCCAACCGAGGGGCCGTCGGATGTTTTGAATTGGGATGAAATTTTCGAGAAATTCTATCATGTTAGTTGTTCTTTGCTTGTCTAAATTTGTCTTCATGGCTGCCTTCATTTCTGGCTTGGCTTGGCTGCCCATTCCGCTGATTATAACGGTGAGAGGGTTTCGCTGAAGGATCACTCGAAGACAGAAATACTGGTGGTGGGTGGGGAGGGCGACTAACATTGTTAATTCTTATTATTTACGAATTTCTTGTGCAGAAAAATAGGCATTCTTATAGAAATTCATGTCAATGATTTGCTATTCCTTTCTTTTGTTCGGTTCATTTTCTTTCTTTTATTACTTATTTAAGTCGAAGTTCAAAATTTTGTTTATCTCAGATTCCAAAAATTGGAGTTTTCCTCTTCTGGAGTTTTCAGATTAAATGGATTGATTTTCAAGGAGCATCTTATGCGATACTAATGCAAAATGAAAATGGCCCCTGTCCGTTATTGGCGATTTCTAATGTTCTTCTTTTACGAGGTAATTTTTCAAATTTCGTTTATAGTACTGGAGTTTAAAAAATGAATTTAATCTTCAGAAATTCCTTTTTCGAGAATTTTTTGCAACGAAATTTTCTGTCGAATCTTCTGCTCTAGATAATCTGTGGTTCTTCGGTCCACAGCTGGATCATTCATTTGCGTTCCGTTTCCTTTTTCCCTACTTTCCCTCCCCACTCCCCTTTTTACCAGTACGTGTTCTGTGCCCATCAGCATTTGATCAATAAAAAGCATTCTCTTGCTCTTATCTCATTTATGTGAAAAAAATCTCTTATTTACTCCACTGTGAGTGGTAAAGTGGTCATCGTCAATCTCAGGTGCTTTACCAGAAGCCTGGAAAAATTGGCGCTCCATCTAAGCTGTTCTTAACAGTGCACTGTTAATAACAGCTTAGATGGAGCGCCAATTTTTCCAGGCTTCTGGTAAAGCACCTGAGATTGACGATGACCACTTTACCACTCACANGCCAGCTACTATGGTTACTTAGTTATACCAGCTGCATACCCGATGACTGGCAGAAATACATATTTATAGCATGCTTCTGCCATTGAACTAGGATTTATATAATTCTTTGGCGATACTTAGATGTTGCAAACTTCCTTGCTTTCTCATCGTCGTTGCCATGTGACTGTGGGATATCAAAGTAGTTAGTGTGTCTGTTATGTATCCGTTCCTGATGGTAGGTGCACCATTCATTATTGCTTTTCCTCTCTTTACTGCCATCCGACCATATTTCTTTAATCCGAATGACATCGCAATGTCCTCGTTGTAAGTGCGTATTAGATGAATGAGCGAGTCAATAAGTCTCGTTCACTTTTAGCATACTTTTAAGATATTGCTTAATGCCATCTATGTGCAGAAGATGTAGTTCCGAACTTGAATTTACCCGTATTTACTTCTTGTGATTATCTGATTGAGAGGGATAGATGGGAACCTATGCAGAACAGTAGCGAAAGCAATGAATCTTGAAATATGCCACACTTGATAATGCTTGATTTCAGGTGTCGTTTTCCCACTGAGTTATCGCTGAAAATCTTTAAAAACCTGCTGATTTTGAACAGAGCCAGACAATTCATAGGCTTTCATATAGAGTCAATCCAAGCGGTACTCAGATTGGTCTATCGAAACCTTGAGTCTTGAGCGCTATTTAATCTATAAGTAGATTTTGGAGCTCAATGCTTTTTTGAGCTGTGTTCATACTGGCTCATATGGTCTTGAAGCTGGATAGTTATGATGTCATGAGCAGATCCATGTCATGAGCAGATTATTGGTTGATAGTTGGACGATATTATTCACTTACGACGGTCGGTGTCGTTCTTCTATGTATTAACTAACCTGGGTGGGAGTCTGCCGTGAGCAGCTGGTTCATCCATGCTGCGCGTTCATGAAGCGTTGTAGCAAGTAAATATGAACTAGACTAGGTTTTTTTAGCAAGTAAGTGTGAACCAGACTAGCTATTGTATAGTTTTTTAACCCATTGTTGGATGTATACAAACTGACGGATGCTCCTGATTGCAATGGCTTATTCTCATCATGTAGTCACTTTCCGTTAGTATAAATTTTATTTTTCTTTCTCCCATATATTTTTTCAGCATTCCTCAGTTTCTGCTGTTGAAAGGTTATCATACTGTTGCACTGCAATTGAGAATACACCTCGTGATTTTTTGGAAAACACAGTACTTTAGTACTTTTTTCTCCAATATCTCTTTGGCCTTATGACCTAGCAGACTCTAATGGAGCAAACACTGCTCGTAATGGAGAGTGGACCTTGTAATTTTCGAGCGATCGGGTCGTTAATCTGCCACTTTTTTCCACTAATTGTACCAGGCTCTCCGTTGTGCCCTGATTTCGTTCTCCAGCCTCATTTTTCAGATGCTATATGTTACTCTTCTTCATTCTGTATCCATGTGTTTCCAGAAATTCATTGGTTACAAAGGTAGTAGGAATTGTTTTGAAGGGGTACATCCTATTTTTTTCCGATTGTTTTGGGAAAGTACTGTAGAGCTGATCTATCTCTATGAAAAGAATTGCTTTCTTTTTTCTATTTTGACGCGGACCTTGTTAATCCAAGTGGCGTCCAAACCTGCATATCTCCAATATTCTCATATTTGAGGTAAAGAAGACAAACTTTTAGGAAATCTTTGCCCAAAGACCCAAATGAAGTCAGCAGCACAAGAGCAAGTTCTAAGCATTAGGTCCATTGAAGCAGGGATTTAACATACTAGACAAGATTTAAAGTTTAATTCTAATAGTGGTGGAGTATAAAATGCAAGCAGGAGCAAACATATATCGACAGACATAACCAAGTAGCTGGTATCATCTTCAGGAACATTTATACATGCATTACACCCTTCCAAGACGAAATAGGAGATTCCTCAGAAAATCGTCAATGATAAGACGAAAATCATGTGGGATTTTTTCAAACAAATCCAGGCAAACAAACAACTACCAACTAAACATCGTGGTAGGAGACAAGAACCAAAGTACAGCTGATAGATATAGCAGCGGCAAGTGATAGGAACATTAGGAAGAAGAAATATGAAAAGTTAGAGAAACAGAAAAGACTAAAAGAGGAACTATAGAAGACATGGAAAACAAACGCTAAAGTAGTCCCAGTGACAACTGGGGCATTAAAAAAAACTACGGCCCTTAACTAAAAAAGTAGCTTCAGCAGATTCCAGGAACAAAACTAGAGATTCCTATCCAAAAGAGTGCACTGCTAGGAATAGCTAAACACAGAACTCTCAACCCCCTGGCCTCTAGCATAAAACCCAAGATTGAGGATGATCATTGTAACCCACAGAGAGAAAGAAGCGAACTACAACTAGCGTGATTCTTTTTACACTTTTGTAAGTAAACAAAATGATGTTTTAATTCGGAGACGAAATTTTAGATCAATACGACAATACTTGGATGAAGACAGTCGTGCTTCAACCGAACAATTTTTAAATTTTTTAGGTGGCGATGGTCTTTTTATACTGCAACAAATATCAACAAACATTGGCGACTTACCAACAAGGTATTATTAAAAAACATAATTATGGGAATAGAAATCATTGGAAAAAATCAAGCAAACAACACGGTCTTAAATCGTAGGAAATGAGATTTGAAATTTTATTCGAATAAAAAAAAAATTTTTTTAGTATCAATGATCAGAATCCTTTGAAATTTATGATTATTTTTATTACAGCTATTTAACTCGATCCATGAAGGCAGTAGCTGAAGAATGGAATATCATAACACGAGGTGCAAATGAAAGTCATTTATTACTGGAAAAAGGAACTAAATCTGTTTAATTTTTAATTTTTCAGTTTAGAAATATCGAATTTCCATTGTTATCTAAAATATGTGGAATCCACAACATTAAATGATAAAAATCTTTCAAATTCTCAGGAACAAATTGAATACTGAAAAAAATTTTTCTTTTTTGAGAAATTTTAGCTTGAAAAAGAGCTCTAATAAGAACTCAATTTTCTTAACCGTAATGTATGGCCATTACTAAACAAAAACTATTAGATAAATCTTTAAATCGAATCAAATTACAACAGATATCATATCGCAAAAAGAAATGTGAACGGAAATGAACCATTTAACATCTTTACTATTGAAATTATCAACTAGAAAAATTTAAAAAATCACATAGGCATTTTCGATTTAAATCGAACGACGAATAAAACCAGGAAAAACTTTAAGAAATTCATCGGGAATTTTTTATACAAATCCAAGAAACAAAAATACGATCATTTAATGAAATTCTTACCTGAAAATAGTGTCAGTTTGAACTTATAAAAAAAAAATGGCGCAAATTATGAATTAATATAAATTTTTTGAAACACTATTAAAGAATCAAATGATTAAATAAAGATATACAGTCGGACCACAAAATATTTCAAAAATTAATTGTTAAAAAACGAATGAGATATAAATATTTAAAGAGCAATCATTAATACTGATAACAACCAAAGAAGCGGAGTGATTCAATGGGTTGTTGCTCAACGGTGCTTTTCGGAGCACCGTTGCTTGTTGTACATTTTCTATTCCTCACAGAATCGAACCTGTCCAAAAATCTGCTGGCGATTCACCCGTAGTTCTATCGCCTTCCTGGCATATTTGTCCATTGACAGGCCTGCGGAGGAGTTTAACCAGTAATGGAAAGAAAAAAAAAACTAATAAAACCATTAATATGACGGATGGGATGAAATATAAGTCTTAAGTCTTAACTCGAGCTTCTAATTAAATCATTTCAAATTTCAATGAAATTTTTAAAAAATTCTAAGAATAAATGAAAAATGAATGAAGCTGACCATTCCCCATAAGAAAATAGACTTGAATCACAATTCGACGATCTTGTCTAACTGTCACTTTTCATTATCTCCTCTATAATTCAGAAGAAGTAAAGGATGATTTAACTTTCTCCAGTGTTTCGCTTTACGATGCTCAGCTGATATATCTGCAACACCACAAAAACGACATACTGTTTCACTATGAATAAAACTCATATGACTGCAGTATAAGGAAATAGCGCAAAATTTTTCGCCGCAAGCTGTACATTCTCGACTGAAACCGTACAATATAACGATTGAGCTAAAATAAAATTATGAGGGAAATAATGTTTTTCTTTGAAAAAACCACGCTAAAAAAAATAAATTTTTTTCAAATCTTTAATGAAAAATAGTGAAAATGTTAAAATGTCCTCAAAAATAAAGAAGTCCATTCAAAACTTTAAAAACCTTAATTTGGAACTTTATATCTTATAAGACAAACAGAACAAATTTCGCAGTATACTAAAAGAGAAGATGGTTATTTCGATTTAAAAATTTTAGTACAAGGAAAATAATTAATATTATTATTATATTATTATTATTATCATTCTATATTAGATTATTTGATTTACAAGCAATTAACATTTGTGTGAAAAAAAATAATAACGATTATTTACGAATGTCGAAAAGTAATACAGGTGAAAACAGAAATACAAATAATATTCTACCTGAGTACGTTGTATAAACACCATATTGCATTGTACACAAAGAAATGTTTCAACTCGATTATGCGTTTGTTCATGAAATTTTAATTCAACTTTGCGTTTAAACCTGTAGCTATCGATAACCTTAATCTAAGATCGAATAATCAAAACGAGGTGCATACAACAGCGATTAATTCATATAGGTGTCTTAAAATCAAAAATAAAAGATTTAAAAAAAAAAATTTGAAGTAATCAGACTTTATAAATTCGAAAAATTCATAGTTTAAAAAGTTCCATCTATAGCCAGAACAGGTGAAAAAGGTGAGAACATCACCTAGATAACACTTCAATAACACTATCGTTTTGCTAATCTAAAAAGATGGGAACGCATCGATACCATGATTTTATAAACAAAACAATTTACTTGCGTTTACAAACAGAACAACCAAAACATCGTGACTTATTGTGTAAATCGGAATATAAGCGCAACTGATCACCGAAGGAAATTATTTCGCAAAAACCACATTCAAATCCTGTATGTTTAGCCTATAAAATATCAAAGACTAGAAAAAATGCGATAAAGAAGTTTTTTTACAAAAGAAAACAAACCGAATGGTGCAAAAAGGTGCCAAGTAGATTCGAAACCCATTTCATAACCAACACAAATCACTTGTTTCGAGACATCCGTTCGGATCATTTGCGTAATCACTAGACAGTGGAAAATTTAATTTGCTGAATCAAAATGCGATACACCTATCTCATTATTAACTGAACTTGATATGATATGGCATCCATCTTTAGTGTGCTTCCGATTAATATGTGCAATCAAATGAGTCTTTTGAGCAAACTGAGCTGGACAATAAGAACATTGGTTCTCTCGAATATTGAAATGAATAAGTTGGTGCCGATCCAGATGTGACAAATATGCGAAGATCTAAAATAATTGCGATATGATTACGATATTTTTAATTAATGACAACGAAAAGAAACATTGTGATCAAAATTGTGAAAATTATAAAACAATTATATTCTTCGAATTTTTTTTCAATTTTTTCTTTTCACAATGGTTCACTAAACATAAAACCTTAGCTACTTGATTTGGATTTTCGATTATACTCAATTTTCATTTTCTTGAGTTTGTTTGGAAAATATAAAGAAAAACAAATCTAAAAAACATTTAATTTCTAGGATTTAAAAATTAAGTACATGAAAGACGATAATTAAGGAACCAAAGACTGAAATTTAAGGAATCAAAAATGATTTGCCTTGCAACACATCGAACAATCCAGTTTTCTCTTTTCTTTGACCATTGAAAGAAGTAATATTTTAACGTTCTTAAAATAAATTAAAGGCAGATTAAAGCCATTTTTTAAAGAATTGATTATCAAGAAATCAAAGAAAGGAAAAAAGTCTTCAATATATAGGAATAATTCGTAATTACAGTCTTAAGTGTTCAACTTCCAAACCAAGATTTAGCTTAAAAATATTCAATCTATAAAAGATAAGTAGCAAATATTTCCAGTAAATTTATAAATCAAGTGAAAAGTGAAAGTAATCAAAATGCGAAAATAAGTGAAAGTAATCAAAATACGAATTTTAAAAATGAAGTTTCACTATGTTAAGAAAAATAAGTGAGAATGAACCAGAACTTCGATAATCTGAAATAGACACAAATCCTAAATATTTTATATTTACCGACACAAAACATATAAAGAGCTTAAAATAAAAGGAAATAAAAGCCATAAGAAAATATGATTACAAAGCACAATAATTTAAAGACCATTTATAGCTAAGCAAATAAGTTAAAAATATAGTTTAATACTTCATTGTTTTTTTCATATTCAATAGAAAAAAGAAAACTGATGCGCAAAACTAATTTTATATGGAAGAATCGGTATCATATTCAAAATTTGACAAAGCTATATCAGTAGACTGAAATACGTCGAGCCCTGTAAGTTTTTCCAGATACTGTGGTTCATTGAAAACGCGAAACAAGAAAGCAATACCATCTGTGCGATAACTGGATATAACAGAAGGCCCACAAGCAATACAACGGTCGAAACGTTGAACAGTTGGGGTCATCTGATGGGAAAATAAAACTATAATGCTATCATGTATTATTAATACGTTTATGTATTATTATTTTTGTATGTATTATTAATACATTTCGTTATAGGAAAATCTCACATTTATTAAAATTTTTAAAAATTCAGTAGCAATATTTATTGCCAGGAATCAACCTAAAACAATTTTAAAAAATAATTAAAAATATTAAAACCAAACTTGTTGGAATCTCGAAAAAAACATCCTTATTTGATGAGGAATTGCACCAAGAATAGTATCAGATTCATCTGGTTCACCCGATCGGGCAGGAGATTCACCACGCAATGGGTGTTGCAACAACGCAGCCAGCAGTTCAACTGCTACACCCGATGCTGCCATCGATACACCTGCACGACTCACCTCAAATTAATATCACTTTCATCTAATTTTTATTATTATTATTCATTCAAGAAATGTTATATTATACTATTCCAATTATACAAATTTACTTTTTAAAACATACAAAATTTAAAAAAAATTAAATTACAAGAGATCACTAACTGTGCATTGTTGATCTAGTGAGCGATCACTAACTGAATCGCCAGGAGCTGTTACATCAGTACAAAAATAACAGCCAAGGAGTGATCCAGGAATTGTTTCACCCTTTCCTAAGCTCAGATCTCCATATATCCCTTCGATTTTCATTTTTGGTTCATGGGAAACACCATGACGAATCACAAGATAAGAATCGAATCCAATGGCAACACTTATTGCTAGCTGAATCAAGTTTTTTAAATTTTTTGATTCTTCGTTAAACAGATTCATATTTCACTGATTACGAAATAATACTTTAAAAATTTTACTTTAAATACTTTACAAATTTTTGCTTGACCATTTATTGGAATCAAAAATTACTAAGAAAAAAATCAAAACAGCCTATACGAAATTGATAAATAAATATGAATTTTTACCTTGCCATGGACACAGGCAAGAAGAGTTGGTAACCATCGCGATTCACGCGAGTCCATTACCAAAAAAATAACATCGTTACAACAAATCAAATCAACCAACTCCTTTAAAATTTTTGTCACGGCCTCTTCTTCTAAATGAATTATTAAAAGCACTAAAAAAAAAACGAATGTATAATTTAGCAAAGATTTTCGGCTGAAAATCAATTTTAACTTTAATTTTAATACAGTTCAAATATTTAATATCAAATATTTTAACTGGAATTCTATTTTAAACTGACCATTGTTACTTACTGGATGGCCTGGCATTGGTATTTTCATATCGACACCTTTAGCGCAAAGAAAGGGATAAATTCGAAGCAAAGCTTCGCTTGCAGCTTTAGCTTTTGATTTCCCATTTTCAGCATCAGAGAATTCGAATAATGTTTGCCTTAAAGAAGATTTACATAAGGAAAATGCTAAAAAAATATGAGAAAAAATTTTATGAGCTATTCCTGAATGTTACCTGACTGGATTACTATATGATACCAAATTACAATCAACGAAAGTAATATTCTGCACACCCCATCCGATAAGTCCTCGAGCTATATTGCAGCCCAACGTACCAGAACCAAGGATCAAACATTTTAAATCACCATAACACTGAAGATTGATTTCTGGCACCAATCGCCATTTCATTAAGCGAAGATTCAATTCAACGTTTTCTTTCATCAATCTAAAATGAAAATCGCAAGCAATTCATTATTCACATTTTTTTTATTTCAAACGAGATATAAAAAATTACAGATAAACGCAAAAGACAGACTGAATAGGATCCATAGTAGTAGAGAGATCCATGAATCTTGATGCCAGCTGGCCACTAATATTTCGATCCCAACCGACTATACTAATGTTTTCTTTCAATGAATCGTCTTCATTTAGACTCCATGCTATTTGAATAATAACACTCTTTACTTGTTCACCTGTCCGGTAACAAAGAATTTTTGTATTACTGATATCCTGCCTAAGAAATATAAAAGTTATTGACGAAATATAAATATATACATGTATATTGCATAAATTATTTTTAACGATTAAATAAATTAAAAGTAATAAAAATAAAATGAACCTGGTATAAGCCAAAGCTGCAACAAAGTTTCTAAGTGGCCATCCAGGACAATCGCATTTCGTGGATGGATCGGGAAACACAATAACATAATCAGTGGAAATTAAATCTAATGAGGCAATAACAGCAAGTGAGTTGGGAAGGTTGTTGATCAGAACAAAAGGCTTGTTGCCATTTTTTTTGAGGTATTCATTAATTAAAGTAGATGAAGAATAAACAGAAGGCTTTTCAATTTGCCAAACATTTCGAGGATAAATTGCAGCTGGTACGCAGTTCCAGTAATGAAAATGGAAGTTTTTCAAATCCTGTCCAGCAAAAAAAGTAATTCAAAAAAATGAGTTACATAAGGAAAAAAAAGCAAAATAAATTGCATTTTTAAATATCAAAATGGTACTTACGGCATAAACTGTAAGAACAAAGGTATTCAAGGAAGAAGGATCCGCTAACCATGACCCGTTTAACATTGATTTCCGCACCTGATAAACAATAATTATATCAGTTCAGCAGTACAATACTTAGTACTAATAAAAATAAAACATCATAATAAAATATATTTATCAAGAACTATAGATACAATCAACATATATTAAACAAATTTTAATAATCATCTATATACATTTTCGGCCAGATTCCTAATCTTCTAAAAATTTAGCATGGAAAATAAATTATTTAACAAAATTATAAACGAACCTTTTCGAAAATTTTGACACTAAGTTTTTGTCGATCAAGTGATTTAAAAGATTCAAGAGTATTTAATAGTAATAATTCGCCTTCAACTACAGTTGTTCCAGTCAACTGAGTGGAATCAGCGGCAAATGCATCATAAGAAAGTATAAATCGAGAATTTGACCCAGCAAGATCGTCTAAAACAAAATAAGCTTAAAAAAACAGTTTAAAATCATTTGTGCTATTCAAAGTATTACGGCCTTAGCCTAAATTTGAAAGCAATAAGATCCAGTCAAGCGAAATTGTTAAAGCCATTTGCAGATCAAACATAAGAATGTATAATAAAACTTTTTTATTTCAACTATTTAATATTTCAATAAATAAAATTCAGACGCATCTTTAAGAATATTTTTAAAAGAAAATTGAATAAATAATTTCTAAATTCATATAAATTTGGATAATATTAATTATGATCCATGAATATGAAATACAAATTTCTGAGGAAATTTAATAATTCTCACGCTTCACTAGTTTGAATTCAATTTTTGAATTAAACTGAATTTTTTAGTACTTTTTGAATTCATAAGATTGACAACTCGCAAGAAACAGGATTTTCAAACTCCAAGACCTTTCAGTCAAAACCAGGACAGTGAATTTCAAACCAAATTATTGAAGCATCTTAGTGGTATGGTATAAATATCAATAAATTTTCTAGAACGCGGCAGATGAATACTGGTCTCAACTAAAGGAATGCATCCGAAAGCCAGCCGCTTCCACACTAAAACATTCTAATAGGAAATGTGCTAGTTGGTTATCGGAAGCAAATGTCGAATTATCTGATAATGATGCCAAAGCAGGAATATCAAGAGGTCCTACTGAATGCTTCGAAGAATTGCGAAAATAGCAATACGGCGAGATAAAGATCGCTATTGGAGCGACATGGTCTTTAGAAAGGAGACGGCGGGTCGGCTAGGCGATAATAAGAAACTATTCCACCTTCTTTATAAAGCAATTATAATTCAAAAAACAATCAATGAAATGGTGTGTCTATTAAGAATGTTAAGGATCGCCTCATAAGATGGAAGGAATGGAAATTCTTTGAAGCCAAACTTAGCCATGATATTAACGGATATAGATACGTTCGTCAAACCACATGTTTGCAATTGCTAATCGCCAAGAGAAGAAAAAATACCCATAAGCTTAGGCCAATAAGACGCCAGGAGAAAAGATGGTCTCCGAGCTGAATTCTTCAAATATTGCCTATCATCCTTGAAAAATCTTCATTACGCACCTTCAATAAATGTACTTTCTGCCATGAAAGAAAGACATATTACCAGATGACTGGAGCAAAGTATATTTCTATTTCCAAGTCCCAAGAAAGATGACAAAATATACTACGACAATTATCGAGGAATCAGTCTATTAGACATCTCAGCGTAAATTATGCGAAATATGGCCAATGACAATGGAAGATATTAAGAAGTTATCTGCCTTTGACTAAACTATTCTATAATTATAATCCGGATAATGGTAATTAAAAGCGCATTTTTGCAATTGGCGAAATCTTTATGGAGTCGTCCGAAATCACCATAAAAATATTCATATGTTTAAAAACAAAATATCCATATAGCTGTAATTTGTTCGGCCTTGCTATGTGATTACGAGATATAGCCAATATGAATAAAAAATATTAAGACCACTCATGTCTAAGGCACATTTTACGGACCCAACGAGTGGATAAAATCTCATATGATCGCATATATCTTCGTTCAAATTCAATTGCATTAAAAGTACCATTACAAAGCGTTGCTTCCTTGGTTAGGATACGTTTATCGTCGCCCACCACAAGAGTTGACTACTTGTTAAAACTCTGTGATGGATGGCGTCAAAAATGAGGTGGGCTAATCAAAACCTGACACGGCCAGGAAATTCTGGACGTATGGGCTTTCTTCTTCTAACAGATCTCACCAATACTGGTTAAGCTGGCTCCATTGGCTATAAAGGTAAGGGTAATGCGGTCTGCGGACTCTTATGGGTGGACCGACAATTTATGGACATAGATGATGGAAAAAAGAGTGACTTCTATTACTGTCGACGATAGCATCAGATCACAGAGCTTGGGAATGTCTTGTCCTTGCAGTGGAGCCAACCAGTAATGATGAGAGCAATTAGAATTTTTAAATTCCATAATATTTGTATTATTTTATTTTTTTACACTGTTAATTTTTAGAGATATTTCTTTTCATTTTATATGTGTATTATTAATTTTCTTTCAATTCAAACTCTTCACATATTATTATTATTATTATTATTAATATTATTATTGATATAAGCGCTTGTCACCCTTCTTGATTATAAATAATATTTCCAATGATCTGCAGTTACAAATGATTCCATTCGGATAAGAACTATTTGAAAACAAATAATCAATAAATAAAATTTAAAATAATAATGAAATTGGTTCAATTAGCAAGAAATAAACTTACAATTAGAAAAAGTACCATAAATTTTCTTCGGTGTTTCATCTAATTTCCATTCACTTAATTTTTTTCTACTTAATTCATTAAAAAATAACGTATCGATATATGAAGAAAATGGAATAAACTGAAGACGATTCATCATCATTTCCCGCAAAATATTAAGAAGGATATTTATCAAGCAATATAATTGAATGCATGATCAGCGTTCATCTCCATAGCCAATTTTTACCTGAAAAAACAAATATTTTTCAAAGAAACCAAATTAATGAAAAAAATAGTGATATATTCGAATTAGAGAAAGAAAAATTGGTGAAGCAATTCGACGGTAAATATAAACAAATAAAGGATAAATACACAAAATAGAAAAATATGAAGATGCATAAAATGAACAAAAGAATAATAAAATGAATACAACCAGTGGGCCAATTTTTAATTGGAAAAATTATCACAAAATAACAAAAGTTGAATCAAGAAAGAAGTCTAAAAAATTCAACATACGTACGCATATAGGGGAAGAATGGCATAATGAGTTATTGCTCTGGCTCTCGCTTCGGGGCGCCGACACTCGTACACCACTCTCTGCACGAGTGAAGGTGTCTTTCAAAAACCTTGAATCGCTAACGACTCATCTGCCCAGCCAGCTTAGCCAGAATAAGTGAAATACACTTGAGGAATACACGTCACATTACGACCAGCGTACCAGTCAGGAAAGGTTATACAAATAAAAAATAAAAAGCAAAACCATCTTTCGGAAATCTACTGACCGAGGCCGCGAATAATGAGCGTCGCTGACTTAAAAGATAAATCCGACCGTTGTGAAGTAACGAACATCAGATTATTAAATGAAAAGGAAAAATTACTTCGGCAAAGTGTCGAAACAAACAAGAAGCGGCGGCCGCGTTGATTAGAGAACTGAGTAGCCAGAAAGACGAGAAGCAAAGCGGCGTTAAGGAAGGCGTGCGGAAGAGAAATAACGGCGAAGTGCCAGCAGTGCGCACCAGCACTCTCAGATTTTGCGTCGAGCGCTAAGCAACTTACGCTTATCGACTTCATTTACATTTCGACGAACCACTTCACTAACAATTCATATTTATAAATAAAACATCTTTTCCTGTCAATCCCAACAAAATTCCAACAAAAAAATCCCAAGAGAACCGCGAAACAAATGAGCCCATCATCATTCCGTTTGGATTCAACTATCCGATCCGAAAAGTAGCTTTTTCAAATGTCGGTAGCCAACAAAACAAATGATTTCAAGTTCAGGAACTGTGCACAAACTGTGGTATTTGATTTTATGGTGCTGCCAGGTATTGTGTGCAGATACACCACAAATCCGGTGTATAATTTTTGACCCGTTTACGGGGGGAGGGGGGGGGGGGAGGGGATTGGTATAATTAATTTGAGGAAATATAAATTTTTTTTATTTCTGATAAATTTATTGGAAATTGATTGAAACTTTTTTATTCCGGTACGATGATAGAAGTTTATTTATTAATATTAGTATTATGCCAAAATTATTTTTTGAATTTCTGAACTTATTTCGTTTATTGCTTTAGTGTGTCAGATGATATTAGTGATCAGCGATTTTAATGAGCAATCGAGTAATCTTTGAGTCTTTTAAAAAAAATCTCAGGACTTTATGAGTCTAACTCAGATGGCAACAGGTGGCAACAGATTCTTCAGATTTTGTCTTTGGCTAATCGAGTTTTAAAACCAACGGTTCTTCATGGAAATAGCACCGACTTTCGTTTGAATTCAAAATAATTTCCAAATTTCTGCTATTAGAGGCTGTTAAAGGCAATTAGATTGATAGATTCAGTCTTCTCATCAAATTGGAGAATTCACAGCTGAAGGCTAAGTTTTTTTAAACAGCACTTGCCATTATTGGTTGAGCTGGTTCTGCTGGCTACAAGAATTTCACTCCACGCTTTTATAGATGCAGATGAGCAAAGATGAATGCAATTAAATGGGATTTTATCAGCTCGAAAACATATCTTAGACATGAGTAGTCAAAGGCGGATAACTACTTAATGCTTTGCCTTTCACTCCTTTCACTCTTATTGAGCATAGAATTTTGTATCAGTCATCTGATATTGGTTTTTTCTTCAATATCTGAGAATGCATCCACTGAAAAGTGCGATGGATGACAAAAATTAAAACTTCAGTCTGAAGATCTCCCTGAGATTTGTACGAATAACAGAGATTTTGCTCTGTTGGGGTGGCTCTCAACTGCAAACATATGGCTCTATGATCGTTTTGGTTATGTTCGGAATAGCAGATTGCACATCTTAATTTTAATCTCAAAGAATTCTATCTATTGCACAAAATGGCCTTTTAGAGATGTAACAGGCAAGCTATCATTGTCTCAGTTAATTTCATTGATCGGTTCGAGTTAGTTTTATGAAGAATGCGGAATAGTTTCATGTTATTGCCTGCTTAGCAATCTCCAAATTTTGAGCCGTATCAATGCAATAGCTATTTTCATCCTGGCTGTGTTTTTGCTGCATATATTTGGAGCTTCCGATTGCTAATATCTTCTGTTCACGCTTCATCGAACTTTTTATCTTTTGGACAGTTGCTTATGCAGCTACCGCTTATCCTAGTGTGGAAATGGCTGAATTTTGGAAACATGCCTTTGAGACCAGTATTCATGTCTTGCCAGAGGTGTCTTATATTTATATTATTGAAGCATTTCAATAATTCGGTTTGAAATGCATTTACTGTCCTCGAATCTTAGCTTGAGATATTTTAAAAATCTTAAAGGACTCTTTTTCTTGCGAGTTATCAGTTTTATGCGGACCTCTTCTCGAATCAACAGGGTCTGATCCATGAAGACTCAGTTTCAGCTCCGCGATAGGAATGATTTATAGTAACAAACTGTTTCAACGATGATCGATTAGAATATAATCTGGCAGAAATGGTAATTCTATTTGACTAGATATTTTTCCATGATGGAAATATGTATTAGAGAACTCCAAGTTCGTCCGCAAAGCAGAGTTTTTCTCTATTTGCGCACTGGATCCTGACACCATATATCATCATGATAGCATAACTTAGACCATTTTCTAGTCCTCCTCGATCGTGATCGTTATCTTTCCAGGGAGAGTTGGAATTGCGCACAGAATCTGTCTTCACAGGAAAAGCTTGAACATTTAAGGACGAAGAACTGCTATCCGGTTTTTCATTTAGATTTCGAATGGTTTGAACCGTGTTTTTTTCATATTTTCCATATTTTCTGAAAACTCGCGGTTCTCGCAATTTCGATTACACTTATATTTGTTGCGAATAAATTACTTTAAAATTTGTATTTTCTACAAAAATAAAAAATAAAACCGGCTTCTCTGTGAGAAATTTTTCCCGTAAATATATTATTTTCCAAAAAAAAGCGAATAAAAATTTTGCCCTACGAATTTGGTGGAATTTTTCCGTTTTTCGTTAGGGCCAAAATTGGCGAAAAAATTTTTAGTGGCGAATCTGATGTATTTTGGGAATCGTTTGGTGGGGAAATTCGTTCTTTTTCTATACTTCATAATTTCGAGCAACATTACGGTGCTTAAAGGTATCGAAATTTTTATGAGTGTTGTCTCATAGGTATGAGCTCTGGTAATTAATTTGTTTTTCCAAAATTTTACACTTTATCCTATTTTGCCAGATCATGGGAAAAATAAATAGGCAAACAACTGAGCATCGAATAAACAAAAAAGCTAATTGACAAAAAACTGACTAATAAAAATTTTCTGACAATAAGATAAGTGAATAATGAAGTAAATCTTTACAAATGTTTCAAAGAACTTTCAAAGAAAATTAAAAGGTTAAAATAATTTAAAAGGCAAATATAAAATTTCAAGATATAAAAATGAATTAAAAATGTAGGTATTGTTTCTCTTCGATGAGCATAAACGGTATAAGTGAGTCAATAACTTGGAAAATTAACGGCACGTCAATGAGGGTTAAAACAATACACACTGTAAATCAAAATATGTAAAATTTATAGAAAAATTAATTTTATTTGAAAGTAAATAAATTAAACTCAATTTTTCAATTTACATTAGCATAATAAGATTTAAATAATGAATAGCACGCAAAAATTTGAAAAAGAACATACACGCTCTGGTCGTTTTGGAGTTGTAGCAGAAGTTAATTTCTGATCAATACTTTCTGGAGAAACTGTGTTTTCCGACCTAAATTAAACTGTCACATCTTTATATAATTTCCGGAATTAATAAAATATTTTTATTTCATCATAACGTTTTTTGTTATGCATTTGTAAATAAATATTTAGTTCCAAGTTTCTGTAAATAAATATATATATATATATTTATATATACTGCAGAAACAACGGCTAAGGCAGGCGGTTAATATGGAACAAGATATCATTTGAGTCGTACTTTCCAGCCAACTTTCTCCTTGCCTTAGGTAGGGGTGCTTGGGCAAAGTCCTCTGAAATACTTGCCACAATCTATCAGGTTTCTAACAGGGACCCAACATAGGTGATTCATACCATTCACATGGAGTGAGAAATGGAATTTGATATATAAACTAACATTATTCGAAGCGCTTCAGCTTGTTTCCTTTCCTCCTCTTGCATTGAGAGAGCGAGAAAATAGCTGGAAAATCATTTTTTTAGAAAAATTAAACTGAAAACAGAATAAAACATGAAAAAAAATAAAAGAAAAGAAATAGAAAACCAAGTGCAGAAATTAAATGGAGCATATTTTTTAAAATTTAAAACACTGGAAAATACCCAAGAATTTATAAGATGAACATTATACTCATTATTCCCACATTTAATATATATTTATATAATATATAAATTATTTTTAATATATAAAAATAATAAGCCATTATACTCGGCTGTTTCATCTTGTTTTGTAGTTTGTAGCGATGTATGAAAATTAGCATCGACAAAAAATGAATCGCCATCAACACTGTTTAACGTTTCCCAAACGACACTCGGTTCATTTAAAAAACCCATATCAGTTACCAAAACAAATAGCTCATCCTAAAAAATGAAATAAAGAATAAGATTAAGAAAAAGATAAACCATTAAAAATTAAGAACAAAAATAAATTAACAAAGAAATTAAAAATAAAGAAATACGATTAAAATTCCCGAAATAAAACTAAGAGAAATGTCAAAAAAATTTAAAAAATGAAAGTGCCAATATTTCAGTGAAGAATAAAAATTATTAATGATAAAAAAGACTAACTCTGTGCTTGTACAGAGTATGAAAATGATTGTTCCGAAATAAAACTGCTATCTGACCATCAGTTAATGACAAAGAAAGCTCGCAAAGTCCATGAACTGTTAGTTGCGAACTACTATTTTCCATAAAATTTCTTAATAATTTTGATTCTGAGTTTGAATCGTCCAAATTGATAACTTTTTCGACCAATTTGTTATAACTGATCCCATTTAGAAGTTTTACTAAAGTAATAATTGAATTTCCATCAAATATAATATATATATATATATATATATAGCAACAACCCAAGAAAAATTTTTGAACTTTCGAAGTTTAAAATAAATTTCCTTAAAAGTTTCAAGCAATTAATAAAATATGATGTCAAGCAAGAAACAACTAGCTTTACCTAATAAAATAATAAAATGCATCGTTAGATAAATTCATATACCTAATGAAATTATCGGAAAAAATAATTGGAATATAAAAAAAATATATTCATAAAAAATGGGATGAATGGAAATAAAACAGATTAACCAAGTTCTGTTTGTTGAGGATCTATAATCCAACCGTGAAGAAGCGATACATCCAATAAATCAAATAAAGCGCTTGCAGTTGTGTATTCAAATTTTCGAACGCTGAAAAGAAATGAAGAAAATAATAAAATTTACAAAAAATTTTTCGACATATTTTAGACGAAAAAATGCAGAATGAATTATAAAGAATTATAAATTATGAACTATATAAGATTATAAATATAAAGAACGATCAAAAACCGAGAATATATAGTTGACAATATATTGCTAGTTTGAAATAACTTATGGCATAAAAAAACAAAACTATTTGTGCATAATGACAAGGATATAATGAGTAGACAATTGAATAAACAAAAAAAAACTGAAAATAAACATTTACCCGGTAAATTCTAAATTGACATCCAAACCACGAGGCAATGAAGGTACTAATGATAATACATCGGAAATGTTTTGTTCATAATTTAGCTCATCACTTTCACTAAGATTCTGAAAATTTTTAAACATAGAATTTTTATAAAAATAACGTCTACAGAATTTTTATAAAAATAACGTCTACGTAAAATAACGTCACTTTTTTTTAAAATTAATTTGATTATCCCATATGTTCAAAACTTTTCCTTGCCAAATGTACAAATCAGTTAGGATTTATTAATTAAACTGAGCCAATTTAAATTGCTAATATTGTACATTACAAGCGAATTTCAAAAAAAAACCTTTGGTCGGAATCGAAGTATACAATCAGCGATTATCTGTAATAAATCTGTTTCAGTTACACGATTCCAACCATTTAGGAATGAAATTTGCCCTAAAAATAACATTTTGACAATACAATTTTTAATCAATACAAAATAGCATCTTATATAAATGGCAATAATTCGTGGCTTTTACCCACGCAGCCCAGGTTCCATTCGCGGCATGGAAATCGTTGCCGACATAGCAGTGGTTAAAGGATAGCGACTGACATCGAATATAACGACAAAATTTTGGCTCAAATTAAGAGGCCTCTATCTTTCCCATGCAGCCACTGGGCAAGATCCTTTCAATGCTTATTTACTTTATCTTAAATATGAGAATGTCGCATATCAGAGCCATGCGGTCTTGGACGTCGCCTAGATCACCTAGATTAACAAGGTCCTTTTAGGTGACACTGAGCAACCAAAATTGTCTAATGATAATTGGGCTACTGGGACTTTACCAGATGTTAAAAAAACAAGGCATTAAAATGGCTACTAGAACAAACCTTACTTGGATGAGATAAGGTAATTTGGAACTGAAGGGAATGCTACTATAATAATAGACCTAAGCACAGCGGTTATATGAAATGTATGAATGAACTGTGGATATGCATTAACTGAAAAATAGCTAGTGGATCAATGCTTCAATATAAGAAAAATGAAGCTGCTCTCTCAGCTTCATTTGTTCTGTTCTGCAGATGGAACAACTCTGCACTATACCCCAGACGAAAAAGAGGAAAGACGAGATATGCACGCAACAAGCTGGAAAGCAGGAAATTACCTTCCAATATCTCCATCTCCACAAGCACAGCAGCTGACATGTGGTAATAAACCATGAATTTAATTAATCGAGACCGGTTATCGAGACCGGTTACCGAGTGAAGCATTAACAGATAACATAATCGAAGGCACAAACATTTGAAGAAACAAATCTCGCAACAATTCCCACTGTCACTATAATATAAACTGAATTGGTCTATGCCACATCCACTGTAATTCTGGAAAATGCTGGAAGGTAAAATCAAGAATAACAATGCATGCCACCCTTTGAAAAGAAGGTTGGAAAATAAGGTTAGTACAGAAAGGTAAAAAGACTAAAAATAGGATCCGGATACTGGAAAAGTACAAGGGCTACATTTAATCAGAAGCCCACGATACTAAGCAAATGATCCACTAGGCTAAGCAGATACATTAGAAAAGCAGAGGCCAAAAGAATAAACAATAAACCGCCTTCCAAAAAATTATCCAAGATTTAGTCCGAAATTTAGTAAAACAACAGATATGGTAACAAAAGAGCCACCAGCAGCAGAAACAGAAATATAATACTGGAGGAATACATGGGAGAAAAAGAAAATTCACAGAATTAATGCAAAATAACTGCAAGACTTGAGAATAAAAAGATTATAGATCTCGCACACCAGGAACCAGCAACCATCACAATTGCCGCCATCTAATAGAGATTCAAAATATGAAAAGTTAGACAGCATCTGGCTCGGATATGATCCACATCTAGTGACTAAAAAAGCTAACAGAAGTTCAAGAGCGTCATAGATGAACCAGTTGCTTGAGGCTCTCGTTCAGACTGGTTAACACAATGAAGGACGACATTAATCATGAAAGTCCTCCATAAAGGAACAACACCACCTAATTACTGGCCAATAACCTCTTCACAATGTGGATATCACACCCATCAAGCTTCATGACCACAGAAGCCAGTAGATAAGCGCAGAATTCAAAAAGACATTAGGAACAGCACCAGAGGCTCCAAAACCAGCTGTTTATAGACAATGCAATCGCTCAGGGCTCAAAATCCAGATAGACCAATCTATGCACAGCTTGAATTAACATAGTAAAGCTAATACATGGATCTATGAAAGTCTGGCTAGCCCTATACAACGTCAACAGGATCTTAAAGGTATTTCTTGAGAACTCAGATAATCAAGAGAAGTGAATATGGACACAAGTTCAAGAACGGAATTACCATCAGCCATATTCTATATACGGATGGACATACATGCATACACTAACGACACCAATTTACATGCCAAAAGCGAAAGCGAACGAGACTTATTGACTCGCTCATTTATCTAATACGGACTTACAACGAGGACATCGCGATGTCATTCGGATTAAAGAAATATGGTCGGATGGCAGTAAAGAGAGGAAAAGCAATAATGAATGGTGCACCTACCAT